ATTTATTACACTTATTCATCATGTGTTTTACCTTTCTCCCGTATAATGTATAGTGGGTTTTTTTTAGTGGAGCGATTGTTAGGGGTTTTGACGATTTTTTCGTATTGTACACATGATGAATAAGTGTAATAAATATAATTTATGGAAAAAAAATGTCCAATAAGCCCTGGTGTTGAATATCGGGGGAAGGGGGGGGGGGGTCCTGTCCACAAGTACCTGTGGATAAGTGTACGTCTTCATGGTAACAAAAAATTGCTTAACGCACCTTGAACAAAATTCTCTCTCAGGAAAATACATACGGATGAAAATAGCAAAAATACTTCCTGGATACTGATGTCTTTGTATATATTTGGATTACCAGACACAACATCCCTGTGGACTTTGGAACTATAATCCCTTTAGCATCTCATGCATCTTAACCCCCTAAATGTTGATTTAAAAAGAGGGGGAGTAACTCTAACTTCGTTTTTAAATCGTGAAGTGTATTTTCGATCACATGCATCAATAAATTAATAAATAACATCCAAAAAGGTCGAAAATACAACACATTAGGATACATCAGGTAATTTAGCTGCTAGCTGCCATGTCTATATAAGATTGCAGGGAATCGAAAAGCAAAGAAAAAAAATTATACAGGAAAAACTTATATGCAAAAAATGAGTGTGGCGAGGGACAGAGAGTTTTTCCCGCCCCTTCCCTTCATTTGGATATCCCTAATACCATCTTCCTCTGTTTGATCTCGCTAAGTTAATACATGTACATTTATCTACGCAAGGCATGAAAGATCTTCAAGTAGGATTTTCCACCAGAGTTGATTTCCAAGCATTGTGATTCAAAGATATATAAAAATTAATGTATATAAAAGAATGTTGGGTTTTTTCAGATCGCATTGGTTCTTAATTTCCTATAAATACAAATGAGTCCTCAGACTTCTTCCGGGAAAAATTGTGAAAATTAATCAGTGATAATTTGAACAAATTACAAAATGCGGAAGAATTGTTTGCTAGCTGATGTTTTCTAGGGATGAAAAACAAAAAGAAAAAGTGTTTACTTTTATTTTTGCTACAAATTTATCGTCTTCATGCCAGATGTCCGAGGTAAGTGCTACTTTTTTTAATTCGCAGAATGATTTAACATTATTTCAAATCTGAATCTTAATTAACATAAATACCAGTAATTAACATAAAAAAAATCAACATATATATAATTAACATTGATTTAATATCTTAAAAATTTCAAGCCAATATTTCCCGTTCAACAATAAATTATATATGGTACTTTGAAAAATTAAATATGTTTAATTCTTTCATTTGCTCATGGTTTTTATCATGGTGTATATATTTTTCTTATATCTTTTAAAATCACAATTCTCAATAGATTATGATTTCTTAGAATTTATAAAAGGAAGAATGAAGAACTTCACTCCATGGGGTTCCATTCAGGGGATACTAAATGCATTGAACATTCTCTTTTGAAGTCTTTTCTCTTTTTTCTTTTCTTTTTTTTTTTATAATGAAACAGTTGCATAAAAATGAATATTTTGCAGATTCTATTCTTATTATTTCTATTTACATGTATCTAGATCGCTTTCAAAGTTTCATGGACCATCCTTCGATCCTATGCCCATATAAAGATAACTATGATAGTATCATGTTTTAAAATAAGAAAAATATATGTTTTCTTATATATATTACGAAGGGTACTTAAAGAATAATTGTTGAGCACTCAAAAAACAATGTAGACATGATGTATATTTATAAATACCATGCATGCAGGTTTTAACCTTTAATTAAGGAGGAAACAATATAAATGACTATTATATATTATATAATAAATCCAAAAAAAAACTTGTAGGTGGTATTATGAAATATGAATTACAAAAAAAAATTTAATCATCTTGCCAATAGTTGTTAATTGTTAAGTTCTTTGCAAGAATTTTTCTTGATTATAAGGATTAATTAAATCTAAAACAGGAATTCGTTGTCTTACCAAACTTTTATGTACCCGAAATCAAAGATTCAGGGGCACATAGTTTTTGCTCTGTCCGTCCGTCTGTCTTTCTCGCTGGTAAATTCTCACAAATCCTTTAATTGGTTTTCATATTTCACATGTGTATTCATAGTAAAAATGCATGTCTTCAATTACAAACATACATGTTTTTTTAACTTCTGACATTGACCCAGGAGTCTGACCCACTTTTGCAAAAGTTTAAAAAACTTGAACCTTGGTCATAACCTTAAAAAAAATCAAGTTATTTCTGAAATGCCAGAAATGAGAATGATGTTAAAGGTGCATAGACACAGATTTGAAGTTAATATTTTCTCAAATTTTCTGTATAATATCTCGACTTATATATTGCATTTAGCATTTCACGCGAAAATATAATAAGTATCTTTTTTTTCATCTCGAAGTTTTTGAAACTTCGAATTTCTGAACGGCTTTAATTTACACCTCCTTGCACTTTCACAAATTCAAATTTTATTCTGAATACTTAATTAAAAATGTTCAGGTTAAAGTTGTGTAAATTTTTGCAAAATGTGGTCAAATTCCAGTATCAAGAGATCAAACATATGTTGGTATCTAAAGAAAGGTCTTGTCACAAGGAATATACACCTGAAACATGAAAGCCATAACGCGAACCAATAAAAAGTAAGAAGGAAATTTTTGTCTATAAACAGACAGACAGACGAATGTCCAAGGCAAAAACTATATACCCATGTATATTCGACCGTGGGAACATAAAAAAAAAATATTTATCTTATTTCTTTCAGCGACCCAAACTTAGTGTGTTGTCCAGATAAGATTTGGGACAACGAAAGAGGAAAATGCATCAGTAAGCTGTGCATGATTCTATCATAAAATCTATAACTAAGAAATTATCTCTAATTAAAAATCTTTAACCATTATGGTACTAATAACATATGTATTACTCCTTAATTAACTTAAAATAAAAAATCTTCTCCAGGTTGTGTTATCGGGTATTCTGGAATCAACTGCTCCACACCGTGTCGTCCTCCGAGTTATGGAAAGGACTGTCAGTCACAATGCTCTTGTAGGAAAACAGAATTTTGTAGCCCCTCGTACGGCTGTATGCCAATATCAACAGAAGGTATCAATTCCACATTACATATTATATATACGGGAAAGGGAAAATTAAAACTATGCTTAATTGAGCTTTACAATTAATTTTATAGAATAGGCATCCGAAATTTTCCCATTTAGAGATGCTGTGATTGCAAAGAATGGAATCATGTTTAAAAATCATTCTAATGTAGTTATTTAATTTTTGTTAAGTGGTCACAACAGAGAAAAGTCTGGCAACAACTCAAAAAGAATTAGAAAAGAGTTCAACAGCAACAACCGTATTTCCCACCACGAGTACGAAATCTAGCCCGGAAGTGGTAACAACGTCTGCTCTCATCTCCGGAGAAACTAGAAGCACGCGTGCGCATGAAATCATAGTAAACCCCCACAGTGGCTTGAATAAAACTCTGTTAGATGAACTCATCTTGTCGAATAGCCCCCTCTTGTTAGGGATTTTTATATTCTGTGGGTTGTTCTTACTCCTCTTTGCCGTGTTGGTAATTACACAGATCCGATATAAATGCTTCAAAAATAATGGTAATCCGGGGCACAACCAGGATATTTATCCAAAAGGGAACCCACAGCTTAAATCATACGACGTTATCCACGGCAAAGAATCAAAAGATTTGAAAATTGGATCAAGAGCTGAAACACCACCCGAACAAAGGGATCCACCATACGCAGACATTGAAAATTACATTGAAAATGAACAAAAGATGCCCGACAGTGACGACCCGAAACCGTGTCAGTCAAATGGCAATGTCCTTTCACAGAAAGACGGACCAACACTGGAGAAAACCATACCAAAGTACATCGAAATTGTAGGCTCCCCTGAACGCGAGTCAACGAGAAAAGGATTAACGAACGATTTGACGGTCGTCAGCAATACCTACACAACTGACTGCACAAACCCCAAACAATTGTATTTGTCAGTGGTTTAAATTTATCTTGTATGTTATCAGTACTAGTATTTGCAGATTTGCCTTTTATTCATACACTGAATCGTCTACAGTTGATTCCGTTTGCGCGATCATGACAAGGAGCACAAGGCGGTTGTGACCGGTCGGCAGGGTATGATTACTCCTCCATGGCAGCAGATCCCACCTCTGATTTTTAAGGGGTTCGTGTTTATACTGTTGAATCATTTCAATTGACTTAAGGGCTACTTTTTTTTTGTTTATCTCCAAATTTTCCTTACATTCAACGTTAACTCGCCTATGACAGTGACAGTTCTGTACACATTTAGTTTGATTAGCGATAGCTTTAATTTCCATTTAAATTTCTGGCAAATAAAGCTGAATTTCAACAATGTCTTTGAAGTCATCATATTCAAAGTTTTACGATTGAAAGAATGTTGTGTCAGCAAAAACAATTCAACATGAAGTAACTAACATTTATGACACTCTCATTTTTCATCGTTTGTTTAATTTTTCTGACGCATATTATATTGTACCTATTTCATGTTTGTATCTTCTCTACACTGTAGTGCAGATTAAGAGAATAAACTATTGAATTGAATTGAGTAATTTGCTGACAGACAATTTCATACTAATTACTACTATAATTTTAAGGCAATTACATGTATAAATTATATTCATGTGTCCACCAAAGTTAATGGCATACATACCCTTGACCACGCAAAATGCCAAATTTTACACCTGCTTAAGAAAATGAATTTCTTCCATGTATTAAATTGTGAAAAAAAATTCTAGTAGTGAAAAAACATATTTGGGAAAATTTCAAGAACTCCTTTTATCACTTTTAAATCGACATACATGTACCGCTAATTCTTATTTGATGGGGTTAGGAACATTCATTTTATTTTAAATCCCCAAGTTCCCTGTCAAGTCTTTTGTACCCTCAACACTCAAAATCCCTCTCTAAGTTCTATAAATGAACTTTATTGTGGGTTATGTTGTCTGCTACATTTAAGCTTTAATTTCCTATTCCCTGTCCATTTCCTGAAACTAAGAACGCCCTATATTCAATATTTAACTAACTCTAATGAGATTATATACTTCCCAGAATTGTATTGTTTAGAGGTTCTTTCCTGTTAAATTATAACAATGAACATCTGAAAATTTTCATTTATATTTTCTTGCGATTTACATAATTGTTTACATCATTTTTACAAACATTCATAAAACCCTCACACGACAAGTGCATTCAAAAATTAGACAATTTTAATGAACCCTTCGTTTATTTATTTTTTTACAATGACTTTTTATAAGTGTGTTGCAGAACAATCAAGGAAATAAATTTATAATTTTATATCAATTGACAATAGCTGAAGAAAATTTCACAGTTTTTACAGTACATTGTTTTTTGCACAAGACCTAGTGACCTTTATTTAGACACACTGAAAATTGATATTCCAAGTGCCAATGAAAAACTACAGGAAAATTACACTTGGCCAGCCTACATGAGCATCTAGAATGGACAGATTTTTAAAAAAATCTCATTGATTTCAAGAAATTTTCTAAACAATATAACATTACACTTTACTCTACAGTTAATATAAAAATTCTTTTTATTACTTGATCTTATCAATAACATTTCATCATATTAAAACAAAAAGACTGTAACCAAATGGAAAACACAGAATATATCATAACAATATGTAACCAATCAAACATTATCTTAATAAATTTGCCTATCTTCTACAAAATGAAGCAGATAAAAGGTCATAAAATAAGAACTCTTCTGTGTTACAAGAGTTTCAACCTCTAAATAGGTAATCTGTACAAATTCTTATTTTCCCAGGTTTACAGAGATGATGCTTCTCATATTAACACCATTACTTAACTACTCATTTACAGTAAAATTTGTCTAATCCGGACTCTGAGTACTCCGGACTTTTGTCCATTCCGTCCGTAAATTTTAGTCCCATGCACTTCTTTAACAAATTCATTTTAAAAAATTCTGTGTAGTCCGGATACTGTCTATTCTGTATTCCGAACGGCAATACTGGTCCCTACTGCTCATAATTAACGGTAATTATTCCCTCTAATCCGGCCACACCTGAGTTACTTCAAAGCAATTAACACCTTTCGTGGGGAATGTGATAATCTGTGTTTACATTAGCATGATTATTAGTGCCATGAGACGAACTCGGTGAAATGCGGCGGTGACACAGTCCACTTGAAAAATATATTATATGATAAAATTACAATTTAAAAAAAATTAACTTTGTTTTAACTCCTTTTACCACATAATAACATAAACACAAAAATATATGTACGCGATTTACAAATCAAAATATAAATCGGGATCGAAAATCGAACGCATTCAAAATGGCGCCATGACACTGTGGGGGAAGACGTAAATTTTTACATAAAATTAAAAGTTCAATATAATAATTAGCAAATCGTAAATAATTGTGCATTACTGTCAATACATTGAATGAGGTCTTTGACAAGCGAAACCCGGTCCACTTGATACTTAGTAGGCCTATATTATGCGTGCCTGTATATTTTGATTGAGGAAACATTTCACCCGACTTTCAAACTTCGTGAACAAATAAGAAAATATAGTCAGTCATGTGAGACTATTTTATAATTTCTAGACTCCAAAATAGTAATTGATTTCATCATTTGATTTTATTTATGATATGTATATGATGTACTTGTAAATAAACAACGAAAATTTTCGAAATTGATATTTTCCTGCATTTTTCCTGCACTCCGGATTCTGTCTAATCCGGCCAAATTTTATGGAACCGGCGGTAGCCGGATTGGACAAATTATACTGTATATCGTTTAAGTAAGGTGTACAATATCTTTTTTCCCTGGTCAGAGAGCATACTTCTCATCTTAAAACCATTACTTGTTCTTCTTCTTTTTCTTCTTCTTTGTCACCTCCTCCTCTGACTCTTCTTCCTCAGCCTCCACCTTGGGTTTCTTCTTCTTCTTCTTGGGTGGATCCTCCTCCTGGGTGGTGTCCATCTCCTGGGTGGTATCCAGGCCCTCACCCTCGGACTTCCTCTTGTTCTTTTTCTTCTTCTTCTTGGGCTCCTCCTGTGAAATGTCCATCTCCTGTGTGGTATCGGCCTCCTGTGTTGTATCTAGGGTATCATCAGCCGAGGACTTCCTCTTCTCTTTCTTCTTTTTTTTCTTCTCTTTCTTTGCTGCTTTAGCCTGTACAACTGCTGCCTGCAACATTAGAGTCATGAATCAGTACTTATTATTTTTATTTTACTGCTGAAAACTTATGATTTATAGTACTGCATTTGTACACTCTGAATAAAACATGGAAATTACATCTATCAGTGAATCTGTTTGTAAAATCTGAAGAATTACTTTTATACTCATCATGAAGACCTCTCTCCTTTACCGTTTTAAATGAAAACTGCCAAAGCTCACCTCTTGCACCGCTTCATGCATGACGTCAATGTTTTTCTGAGGTGCCTCCCCTGTGTCCAAAAACTTAAGGCGGTCCTCCACTTGCTGTTTCAAATGGTCCCCAAAAACTTGAGTAGGAATCTCTACAGTTAGAAATTGAAAGTAGTCATTATTTAAATGGCTATTCAAATAAGGGATGCGTATTTCATATTGCAAAACATGTATATATCAATTTCCTCCAATGATAATATCATATTTTTACAAGCAATTTTTACCATGATTTAAAATAAAAATTCAATTTTTTCCTAAAATGTGTTGGATAAACAAAACTTAAAATTAAATCTACACTAAATGATGAAGCTTTCAGGTATAAAACTTTCATATTTTTGGCTCAGTGGTTCTTGAGAAAAAGAATTTTAAAATTGTCTTTAAATTTTCAATAACTCTTAACACTCTCTTGGAAGAAGGTGTGGTTTTCCATTTGAGCAAATTTGAATACCCTTCACCTACATGTAGAGATTCTTTGTGACAAGTTTGGTTGAAATTGGCCCAGTGGTTCTGTAGTAGTCAAAAATGTGAAAAGTACACATAACAGATAGATGCAGGGCACCCTTTGATCAGAAAAACTCACTTGAGTTTTCAGCTAATGTGAACTAAAAACTACAACTTTATACACAAATTTTTATCAGAATAGCTCACTTGATCTCCTGCTCAAAATTGCTGAATAACGGTAAGTAAAACTTGTATTATTTAAATTTCATCTGATATTTCCTCACCTGAGAAACAATCGATTCGTGAGGCAATGGAACACTTGTTGGCTAGGTATCTGGATATTCTCCCTTTGTTTTTGGCAGCAGCTCGACCAATGAATGTAGAGTGGAAGATAAGCCCATACTTGGGAGTATTTCCCTTGGTTTTGATGGCCCTTTGAAAGCAAACAGTCAACTATTTAGATTATGATAATTTAACACTTATTACATGTTTGTACTGTGTTAAGTTTGTGATTAAATTTGGTTTTAAGACAACTCAAGAACAAATTATATAAGCTTACTAGTAATCTATAGATATAAAATAAATGCAGTCAGATGCAGCATCCAAAGCATACATCATAGTAAGTATCCAATATATTGATAGTTCCAATCCCTACAACTTCTGAAGTTAACAAATTATTATATGTACTGTCTAACCTCTATTGGAGAAGCACAATTATTATAGCATCAACACAGATCCAAGTATGCTGAAGTATATAGAGGAAATGCAAAATAAAACTCAGAGGAGGAAGACAGTCTTAATTTTTTTCATCATGTTCATCTGTTCATTTTAAATCTTGTATAAAGATTGAATCTTGTCCTTGTGCAAATAGTACCTAAACAGTGCCTTTTCAGCACCCAAAATCTGCACTGTAGATGCTGGATATTTGGCCAGATTTGTTAAACTGCCTGCATGTGCAATCAAACGAGCCCCAACCTGCAGTAAAGATTAAAAATTATACTAGTGACATTCCAATATCAAAACAAAACTAGAACTGTCCATTAGGGACAAATACCCCCCGCTGGGTTTTTCAGAGAAGGTGCCAATTCAAAAATAATTTATGGATCTAGAGGTGTTCACAATTTACTTACAAAAATTTGCAGTGAAATATAATTGCTCATCATGTTTCTTAATGAATGAAACAAAGGTGCAACCAAATGAAACATCAATACTAATACATTGTAATTCCACTGTAACATTTTTTTTTTATTTTTTCATTTTATTTTTTTTTTTTTTGTTTCTGCATTAAAAAAATATATTGCAATTATGTGTTACGTCACTCTGCAAACTGATTGTTAAAATAAAACATAATACAAAATCAAATTAATCTTGATATATCAATTTGAAATGCATTTTGAAAATAAAGAGCTGGTCATCCAGTAATGAAGTGCTTTGACAGACAATAAATTACAATTAAGAGAATAAGAGAAGAGAGATCTTTAATTCTTGTGCCTTATTCCCTGGAGATTAGATAACACACACGCTTGATAAGAGACATGCCTTAACAACTTCCAACACCAAACTCATTAATTTATCTTTAACTGGATGCATGTCCAGTCATTATTCCCAAGAGACAAATGAAATTACATTATCTTCTGTGCAATGTAAAAACTGTTTTTAACACTTGATGATGTTTCTTTTTTTTTAAGTTTTTATGAGTAGTTTTAAGCTGTAGTATTTTTGAACAGATATTCTAGATTCTATATCTCAAACCTTATACATGAGCCCAAAATGAACAAGTCAATTAAAATAAAAAATAAAACCTGTAAAATGCAAAAAAATTAACAAAAAGAGTTGAAAATTCCAGGTGCACACCTTCATCTGGTGAATAATAAGTGTACAAATTTTCAGATTAATTCTTGCAATAGTTTCTGAGAAACGGTCCGGACAAAACCACAAAATAAAAATGAAAAAACACCTGTAAAATTCAAAATAATAATCGAATCAAGATGAAAATATCAGGTGCACAACTTCATATGGTGAATAATATGTGTACAAATTTTCAGACAAATCCTTCCAATAGTTTCTGAGTAATGGTCCGGACAAAATCTCGTCTACAGACAGACAGACAGACGGACAGACGGACATGGTGATTCCAATATACCCCCCCTAAACTTCGTTTGCGGGGGGTATAATAAGCTTTAGAATTTTCTATATTTCTTAACAAAGACAATCATTTCATAAATTTCATTAATTTGACTTATTTCTGACCTGATCACCAATGAGAGTTCCCAGATTAGGAGCCACTGCTTTCATCTTGCTCCTGAGATAGTCAGCCAGTCCTTTCCTGTACTCTGTTAATGAAATCACTTTAGCAGTGAAGGCCTCAATGTTCATCAGATCAATTGGAGAGATGTCCATTCCTGTAAATTTTAAAATAATCATCTTGGATTTTAGAAATGCAGAATTCAAATTGAAAATGTATAGCAAAATGAGTATGTATTAACAACTTCAAAATTAATTTATTTTGAATGAGCAATTTCTAACAAGCTTGAAAGAAAATCTACAGGGAAAAACTAACATTCCACAGTTGTTTAGTTTTAAAAAACACATGCAAAATGTTATGAATATCACAAAATGACTTTGATACAAAGAAAAAATCCCTGCTAACCCATGGATGATCGGCTGGCGTCCAGTATTGCCTGAGCCTTGCCGCTGTCCATTACGAGTTCCTCCAGCTGTTCCAGGGACTCATCAGTATACTCCTTCCTGTTCCCAATCAACCTGACCACCTTGGCATACAAATAATTGTCTGAGATGATTTTTACGAGTTCTGGGAAATGATACGAGTACCACTCTCTGAAACAGAATCAAACATCATTTAATAGAATTTTTTTCCAATTTTTCATATGCATATAATTCTATTTCTTAGATGCCTCTTACAAATGTACTTTATCATATACTAAACATCAGCACCTAAAATATTTTGCATTTCTAAAAAGAGTAACTTTTAATGAGATATGCACTGTGTTTGCTTATTTTCAACTCCTCTACATATGAGATTGAATTCATTTTTCTTCCTGTTTATTCATTTGGCCAAGAAAATTGAAATTTTACAACTGTTTAAAAAACTTTTAGAGAAAAACTTTACTTTCAATAAAACGTCTTCAGATACCCTTATACCCTGAACATATGACTTGAACTTGAAGTTCCATTGAGAAAAACACAATATTACCTCATCCTCATAGAAAATGTGTTAATATTCTTGTCCAGTTGGTCCATTAAGCTGATGCTTTGGATGATCATGTTATCTGCCCTATTGACATTGAACTTGACCTTTGCCCTTGAATAGCTATGACCCAAACCAAGTTGAGCTTTGGCTGAAGACACCTCTGTTAAACCCTTTACCATGTTTGGGAAGTGAAGTCGGATTCCTGTAATAAAACAAGAAAACATTTTCAACTCCAATAAAAAGTACACTTCTAAAATTAATAATGTTTTTGTTTAATATACAGTCCAAAACAAATCTTTAAACTCATAAACAAAAATCCCTTTACATGTATATTGATTTTTTAAATCTCGAGTTTTGTTTTCTGGTTGTACCTCTGATCACTTCTGGGACCACTCCAATATGAGTGCACTTAATTCCAAGCTCCTCTGTGATGGCTGCTCCAATTTTAGCATCTGCAACCCCCAAAACCACCTTGTCTTTCTTTCCTCCCTTGGGAACATTGGACTCCAGGAAAACATGTAGATCCTCATGAAGAACCCCTTTATTATGATATTAAACATACACTTCATTTTTGATTCTGTCAAATTGACTATGTAGTGATTTTTAAATCCCATTAACTGGTTGAGACCAATTGTCAAAATGCAATTTAGATATAATAAACATTAATACTTGCTTTTCATTATATAATAAGTATTGCATGCAGTTGAGGTAAAATTTAAAATTTTCACCCAGAGAAAACAAAACTGAGGTCAACAGAGTAGTTGCCCTTCTGGTTTTCTTGAGGTGAATTTTTTTTTTAATTACCCTCAACTTTCTGCACTATTTATCATAAAACACTGTGTGTTCTATAAAACTACATATAAAAAATGTAGAATGAGTGTGCATAAAGTCATAAACACAAAAATTTTTGCAAAAAGAATTATGCAGAATGTACAATCAAGCGTTTATAAAGCGTTTGTTTACCTTCTGAGATACTGTTCATGTTATCGAGCGCATTGGTTCCACTCTTGAATGGTGCAAAGGCAACCAGCTTGACAATGGACTGGAATTTGCTAACATCAACTGTACTCTTCTCCACCACAGGAATAAATGTGGCCACTTCCTCAAACTCCTTAACTCGGAATAGGCCATAACCGGAGGCATGCTCATACAAAACAAATAATGACTGTGGCTACAAATTAAAAAAAAATCAATTACTTTTGAAACCCATGCTTAAGGCTTTAAAAATGATAACAGTTTGGGCATTTAGCAACTGTTGCAACATAAAATGGAACTGTCGACGAGAGTACATGATAATTAATTTACTATTTGTGTTACATATGTAACTGAATTTTTTTTGCATGCTTAATCTTGTTGACTATTGTTATTTCAGTGGTATTTTAGCTGTGATAGAAGGTTAATGAGCTCTAGAGCTCATGTTAATTCTGATGCAATGTACAAAATACCAACTTGAAATCTTTTTTATTAATTCATAGTAAAAGTAGTACAAATTTAACCCCCCTTTTCCTTTTTTTCTTTCATGCCATAGGAAAAACAAAAATAATTATGACAGAGCGGTAATGTGATGTAATTTATGAATATAACTTTACATAAATAAATCTTTAGATTAGTAATTTTTCAAAAAGTTTAGCTTAGTTTATAAAGAAAAGCTGTAATTTTTCATTCCCACGTGTTTACTCACCATTTTCACAACATTTTATGACTAATTGTTAAAATGCACCTGATTGGATAAAATTCTGAACTTCCGCCCTATTATCCAATTGAAATTCATCTTATGGACAAGTTCGGTTAAACCTTCAAAATGGCTGCCACTGTGAGTGTTGACTGTTTTGATACAGTTTTGCATAATTTTATCTGCTATATTGTGTGTTTTCATTGGGAATTTCAGCCGTAAACAGATTAGATTTGATTACTTTTATATATCAAACGTATGCACAAACAAATGATTTTTGCAATAAGCACAGAAACTGATTCTAATCTGACTAAACATTTCACTGAAATGTATAGCCAGGTTAGTAAACGTTTTGCCTTTTTAAAAATTCATTCTTATGATGTTGATAATGAACTGGTAATAAATAAACAGTTATAACGTATTTCATTTCTAACGCTTGTAATGAAAAAAATAATTGTGTCAAACTACAATGAAAGTAGATATAAACAGAGACATATGTCTCTGATATAAACGATTTTGATGTTTAAAAATTTATATCATTAATCTTCATGTTGGCTTCCAAACCAAAATTTTAGTCCCTACGATTCTCGCTGAGAAAATGTAAATATGATATGTAAAGAATTGCAATCGCCTAAAGTTAAGACTGTTAGAATTAATTATATTATTCAGATCTTGATTGGCAATTAACCCTTTCAAAATAATTAAAGTGCTTCTTTTTTTGCAAGGCAAATTCATAACAATTTTTTCATTGATAGATAGTTTAATGACATATATTAAATGATAAATTTACATTACATTTTACTTATATATACCAGTTTGCCCTGCAAAAGAGTAGTGCCACAGTTATTGTGAACCAGTCTATTAATTTGTTTTTATTTAAAAATAAATCAGGAAGTTGATGAGCTGTCTAGTGAAACAGAAAAGATAAATCTGTCATCTGACCATGCCGAAAGTGTATCTAAACCAGAGACGACACCTGAACCAACATCCTTATTGGAACAGGTATTTATATCCTGGATGAGGCACAGGCGTATATATTTTTTATCAGAAGTTTATTATGTCATTATGCATGTCATATGGTACCCTCAATGTATGTCTAAGCACATCACATTATCATCAGCGGTTTCTGAGAATTTTTCAACTTTCTTTTTTTAATGAATGCTCACACTGTTCCAGCCACTGCCCACAGGTCTTAAGATTGCTCTAATCCAGCTGACAAATTGGAGGTATATTTATACACCGAAGTTTGTCAGTTTGATTAAAGGGATCTAAAGACATGTTCTAGCTATGAATATTATCTTGCAGCTTAAGCTACTTCCAGAAGCCCCGAGTCTGAGCAAGGAGCCTATTATCCTACAGCTGAGGGAGCTGAACCCCTACATCACCTGTGCTCTCTGTGGAGGTTACCTGTATGAAGCTTCCACCATTACAGAGTGCATGCACACCTGTAAATATACAATAATACTCTTTATATTTACATACTCCATTTTAACTTTAAAAAAGATGTGTTTGTGAAAATGTCGCCGATGGTACATGTAACACGTGCCAATTCTGGAGATGGACATAAACTGAAGTGATATGCACTTTCCCTTGACAGTGCAATAGTTTACTGTTATGGGCTAGGTTAAAGTTGACAACAGACAGACAAACATACAGACAAGACAAAAACAACATATCCCCAGGATTTTTGATTCAGGAGCATAAAAATATCCACACCCACAACTCAAACTTTATGTAAACTGTTGACAATATATGTTAATAATTGTCCATATTTATGTTAATTTCTATAAAGAATTGAAGTTTTTTTAATGATTATTTGTGAAATCATTTTGTATTAAATTTTTAGTTTGCAAGACCTGCATTGTCCGCTACACAGAGAGACACTTAACATGTCCAACTTGTGATGCTCCCATTCACCCCACTGACCCTTTTGTACACATCAGGTAAATCAAAGACAAAAAATTGTATATAATATTACAACCTAAATGTAATCAACAATTTTTGTAATCATAGATTGTAGGAAACAAATCCAGGTATCATTTAAAATATATTTGATTTTCATTTTAATTTCTGCTACTCTTCAGACATGACAGTACCTTACAAGACATAGTTTACAGACTTTTACCAAAAGTAGCTGAAGGTGAGATCAACTTTTAATATGTTTAAATTGAAATTTAAGATATAATAGCAATCTTGACGACATTAGTTTCTCATATTTTTTTTGTGCTACCTACATGTTTGTTATTAACATTAATATGAGAGAATTAAATTTACCTTTGAAATACTTTCTACTTGTGTGAAAAAATGTTTGGTTTCATTTAAAATTGATAATTACAAATATTGTATCAATATTGAAGATTACGTATTTAAATATGTTAATTTTTTCAGTGGAGCAAAAAAGAGAGATAGAATTTTATGAAAAACATGAACAGGAGACTGGAGGTAAAACAAATACGAAATAGGAAACATGTACAAAGCAGAATAAATGGTTTGTGACAATTGAATTCATATTTGCGTGGGCCATGAAGCTCGCAGATATTTCTCACACATCAATAAAAGTTTGTTTGCAGTAAAATATAAATATTCATTTATTTAATCACAATAACATTAATCTCAACTCTTCAAACTCTTCTGATCCAAATTTGAAATTCAGTACATGTGTTTAAATTTATTCAGAGGTGATCCTTCCAAAACTTCAGTTGCCTCCCTCCCCTCCAAGAACCCCGCCCCCCAGGACAGACCAGCCCCCTCTCCCTAGCGAGTACATACGTAAAAAGAAGAAGGACCCACAGCTGGGAAACTTCAAGCCCTTATTTGTCTCGTTAGTTCTTACTCAGATCAGGTGAGCATAGTTGTTAGTAAAGATAAAAGTTAGGTCAATTCAGTATTATTGTTTATAAGCATAAAACTTAGGTTCATTAGTATACAAAATAAGACAACTTCATTCTGTAATGTCATAAAACCCAATTAAAATGTAAAAGTAGTAATATTGTTAATATTCTGGTGTTTTGACAAACATACATATTACAATGATTTTGTTTGTATATTTACTAACATTTATTAAAAAAAATCCCTATTTTCTAATTCCTGTAATCTTCTGCGTTTAGTTTGTTCTTTTTCTTTTTTATTAGTTCACCTGAGCCTTCAGTGAGCTTTTCTGATCACATTTTGTTCTGCGTCCGTCTGTCCGTCTGCTTGTCTGTCTGTAAACTTTTCAGATTTTCGACTTCTTCTCAAGAACCGCTGGGGCAATTTCAACCAAACTTGCCACAAAGCATCCTTGGGTGAAGAGAATTCAAGTTTGTTCAAATGAAGGGCCACGCCCTTTCCCAAGGGGAGATAATTGGGAATTAATGAAAATTTGGTGGTATCGTTTAAAAATCTTCTTAAGAACCACTGTGCCAGGAAAGATGAAACTTATGGGGAAACATCCTCAGGTAGTGTAGATTTAAGTTTGTTCAAATCATGATAGATTACATAGATATATATATAGGAAAATTCCTTAAAAATCTTCTGATGAAGAATAACAAAGCCATAATTGATCATATTTATATGGTAGCATCCTCAGGTAGTGAAGATTCAAGTTTGTTCAAATCATGACCCCCGGGGGTAGGGCAGGGCCACAATGGCCGACCAAAGTTTTACATAGAAATATATAGGAAAATTCTTTAAAAATCTTCTTCTCAAGAATAACAAAGCCATAATTGATCATATTTATATGGAAGCATCCTCGGGTAGTGTTGATTCAAGTTTGTTCAAATCATGACCCCCGGGGGTAGGGCAGGGCCACAATGGCCGACCAAAGTTTTACATAGAAATATATAGGAAAATTCTTTTAAAATCTTCTTCTCAAGAATAGTAAAACCATAACTGGTCAAAGGTTTACTTTTGGATTTAAACTTTTCAATAATTAATCAATTTCTATTTCATTCCTAGCCACAGTGCTCGGGTGAGCGATGTGGCTCATGGGCCTCTTGTTTTCAGTTATAAATGAAACTTAGATCAATGTAATCATTTACAAATGTAAACTGGCACCAGGTCTTTTATAAAACTTCCAAGAAGTGTAGTTGAATCATTTGTAAATTGAAAACTCAGTTGGGTTTATTAATTATTGAAAACACAGAATTTTTTTGAATCATTTATGAATGTAATTTTTTCATTTCAGTGAGAATGACGATTCAGATGATGAGGTATATCTTTTGTTTTTGTTTTTTTTTTTTTTAAATAAATTATTCATTTTAAGTGAAAAATCTCCTGAACTTTCAATGTATTTTACTTCTTGATTTTTATAATTTTGAAAAATCTACAGTCCCAATAAACTTAAAGTATATCGTCTTAAAAAAAGTTTGCAATATTTCCTTGAAACAGCATAAACTTTCAACATACAGTAATCCGTATCATACTTTCCTGTAATTTGGTTCGCCTATAAGTCGCTTTACCTATAAGTCAGTATGCCAGTTAGTCAGTTGTATTTTTGAAGCCTGCATTATAGGGATTGACCCTATAAAATACCATCCTTTTATAACTCACTTATAAGTCAGACAAAGAGTTTTGAATCAAAGATTAACTCCCAAAATTCAATTTATAGAGGTGTTTATATGGTCTATGTGCGTTTATTTGTTTCAGTTTGACCTTGAGAAGCAATTTGTACGGGTCACCAAAAGGGCCACAGTAGGGAATGTCATAAGCTTCATACAAAAGAAACTACATCTTGGCAATGTTTATGATGTAAGTTAACCATTGTATTATTTTTTTTGTAATCAGAATGTACAGGTTATCAAATGACTGACAAAAAATATTTCTTAAATACAATGGTAATTTGTATAGGTTGACATTTTTCATCCTGAGGAAATTGGTTGTTTGGAGTCCCTAGATACAGAAACCACCCTGGAGAGTATCAGAGACACTTATTATGAGGGACAGGTGAGACATCATAGAGGGATTTTAAAAAATATGCCGAAAGTTGATTTCCATGTTTTTAGCTCTACTGGTCAGAGACCAGAAGAGCTTATGCGATAGTAAGGTGTCCGTCGTCCGTCCGTCTGTCTGTCTGTCTGTCCGTCTGTCTGTAAACAATTTTTCAAAATGCTACTCCTCCTACAGTTTTGGTCTGATTTCAATATAATTTGGCATACAAGTAGACTACACTAAGATACATAAAATAGTGCATCAGTTTTTGATTTTGATGAACGATGTTGCCATGGTTACTAAAAATTAGGGATGTCAAAATTGTCAATAATTGATATTCGAATATTCGGTAGTAGTATTCGAATATATTCGAATATTCGATAATTAAATAAATACATCTTGCATTATAATATATACTCGTATATATATATCTTCACTCTTTTGTCAAGCAATATACATTTTATGTCATTATTTTGAAATAAAATTTCATGTAGAGGTTTGTAAATGCACCATAATAATATTCTTAAAATATTTTACAGAATATAAGAGTTTACATCCAAAATATAATAAAAAAAAATTTTCCCTGAAAATTCAAAAGATTCTTTTAATAAGCACCAGATTAATTAATCGTCTTACCAAAGTGTATACACTGATAACCCTACAGATTTATACCACACAGAACAATTATCTAATGGAGAAACATTAAAAGCAAATTACCTTTAGCTAATTAATTTCCTGATAATGATTTTAAATGTTTACATAAACAAGGGATCCATGTGTGTTACTTTAAAAATGTGTCCTTTCAACAATACAAACTAATTCTAAGTACTGGACACTGTTATACCTCTAATTAAGTTATCAAATGAATAATTTATATTATTTTAATAAACACACTCTTCACACCTTTAAGGTAATCCAAGAGGAGTTCTTTTAATTTTGCTTTAAATAAAATCTTATTGTTGGTCAACGATACGAATTTGACTCAATTTCTGATAAAGCTTCAGTTTTTGCCAGATTTTTTTTTTCTTTTTGATGCTTGTATACTTAAAATCCAAATATTCGAATCATAAATTTATATTCGAATATCAACTCATCGAATGAATATTCGAATATTCGTTGACATCCCTACTAAAAATAGAAATTTCCGTGAAATTCCTTTAAAATGCTACTCCTCCTACAGTTTTGGTCTGATTTCAATATTGCATTGGTTTTTGATTTCGATGAACGGTGTTGCCATGGTTACTAAAAATAGAAATGTCTGTGAAATTCCTTTAAAACGCTACTCCTCCTATAGTTTAGGTCTGATTTCAATATAACCTGGCACACAAGTAGACTACACTAAGGTACATAATTCTGTATATCGGTTTTTGATTTCGATGAACGGTGTTGCCATTGTTACTAAAAATAGAAATTTCTGTGAAATTCCTTTAAAATGCTACTCCTCCTACAGTTTTGGTCTGATGGCAATGACTTTTTTTCTCATCTTTTGTTATAAGTACAAACCAGCAGAGCTACAGTCTCGACAGAGACTTCTGGTTTTTCTATATTGCAAAAAATAATCTGCTCAATAACAGGTACTGCTTTCTGTGTTTTAGGACTGTTTGATAGAACTACACTACAGGGTGTGTCCAAAAGAAGAAGAAATGCTGGAACAAGAAGACATAACATAGAACTAATGGCATATTATCGTTTTGTTTGTTGTTAATTTTGTTAGATTATATAAAATAAAGAAATGATATATGGGCAAGATTTAGTATGTTATATATTTTTAAGTTACATAAATGACTCATTTTAGTGGTAGTGTAGATTCATATTTGTTCAAATCATGCCCCCCAAGGGTTGGTCTGGGCCACAATGGACAATGAAACTTTTACGTACATGTAGGAATATATAGGAAAATTTTTCAAAAAAACCTTTTTATCAAGAACAACAAAGCAATGAATGAATATATTTGTATGGAAACATCCTAGGTAGTGAAGAATCAAGTTTGTTCAAACACAAACCAGGGCCTCTGCAGTGATGCAGCATCGTTTTTGAAAGTGGGGGGCCAGCCAGAGAAAAAGGACCCCCAGGGGTGGGTTGGGTCCACAATAAACAAAGTTTTTTTTAGGAACATACAGGAAATAATCCTCTTCTTTAAGTTAGAGTAATACGGAAGCATCTTTAAGTAGTGTAAATTCACATTTGTTGAAATTATGATTGCAAGGGGTAGGGAGGGGCACAATGGGGATTGCATTTTTACAAAGGAAAATACAGGGAAAAAATGTATGTTCAAGTACAACAAAGCCATTTTTATTGATATGGAAGCATTTTTAGGTAGTTTTAAATATTCAAGTCCTATTTTTCAATACTGTTTTTTTTCTAGCCAATGTGCTCAAGTGAGCAATGCGATCCATTGGCCTCTTGTTAATAAGATAGTATGCAAGTCAAGAACCTGTACTGGGTACGATCAATTTCTTAACCGGGAATTTAAAGGCTATTGACAAATAAGTTCATGATAAAAAGGGTGTTAACAGTCTTGTTTAAGGTCAGTCGATGCGTCCCTCGGCTATCTGTTTTGTATAATTATGAAATCGTACTACATAACGTAAAATGTCACCAACATCACGCGTAACGTTGCAATCTTCATAACTGCAATAAATGTATTATACACATGAGAAATACTTGAAGGGATGTTTTACTTTTTATTTCAATATAACAAAAAATACTTTTGTAACTAAGATTTCTCAGTCTTGGGCATTAATACGTATAAAGCTGGTTGATGCTAGCTAGAATTTGAAGATTCATTTATGTAGTGCAAGTGGATTTCCCCCCTAAAATACCGATATTACTTTCTTAGGGTATGTCTATAAATACAATGCAATTGTTCTTCATGACTGACGCAAATTTGTTATCATGCAAACATGACTGTATAAAACTTAATATCCCAACAGATTAAATTATTTTTGACAATATATCTCGCATGTTCTTACCTGTAAATCGAAAAACACATATAAAAAATATTTTTACGTAAAATAAAACACACAACCTGCACATAAAAAATAATATCTCCTGTAATAATAAATTACAGTAAACCAATAATCTTTAATCAAAAGCTTATAGCATAAAAAAATACCAATACCCTTGAAAGTACATACATGTATAATAATGACAGCATACACAACACAGAGAAAAAAAAATGCAAACTTTTTTTTTCAGATTCATCAAATTTTTCTTCCCCTATAGTAAAAGCCTTCTTTGGCCCTATCTGGGCTCATGCATCCACACGTTACTCCTCGACCGATTCGTGCCTCATCGTTTGATGAAGATGACGAAATCAGCCGAGGTTTGCCGAATGTGGGCTCATCATTTTACTTCTTCTACGGAGAGGGTCTTCATCGGGCTTTAATTCATTAATATGTTAACATTTCTTAAAAGTAAACGTTCATCAGACTTTCTCTGAAGCCTTTAGGTTTTCTTTTTCCTCTTTGGCTTGATTCAGTTCCTCCACCTCTAGAGTTTCCTCTTCTACAGCCCACCGTTGTGGTTCTCCCCTGCCGAACACCAGGTAAAATAGAGCACAGCAGAGGTAGATAGCTGCCGCTATAAAGAAAACTTTCTGCCACTCTGATCGACTCTGATTCTATATAAAAAGAAAACGAAAAATCATTAATTTATTAAAACCTTGATCCTAATCTGGTTTGTGTATATAATGAATCTTTGGCGTATACGTACGTTCTTTGTTGCATGTTTGCAGTTAGCTTAACGAGTCTATTTACAGGGACGTAGCAACAGGGGGGCCAGGTGGGGCCTGGTCCCCCCCCACTTTTTCCCCAATATTACCTTTACTATAGTAAATGTTCATTGAAAGGATGATTGCCCCCCCCCCCCACTTTTTACCATAGTATAGTGATATCAAGGAAAAAATTGGAAGTGATAGTAACTTGACATGGGAAAAGTTGGCCACTAACCCCCCCCCCCCCCCCCCCCCCCCCCCCCCCCCCCCCCCACGAAATAGGATTTTCGAGTTTGGGCAAATTATAATTTTCCGGGTTTTTTTTTGCTTGTCAACTTTTTCAGGTAAGTAAAAAAACAAATTTTCTCTGGTGGTTGTCCCCCCCCCCCCCCCCACTTTCAAAACCGATGTTACGTGCCAGACTTAGTCTTTGAAGTGAGACAATAAGAGAATGGTCAAAGAAAAAAGACCAAAATTATTACTCATTTAGTATTTGCTAAAATCATCTGGCTGGTCAGACAATTTTGTACATGTGTAATAAGTTGGCCCCTGTCGTCTGTAGTCAGTAAAACGGAAGTGGTATTAAATATGGAGATGATTCTCGGAAACGCTACTCACAGTCTCGGAAATTGACTAATAAAGTTTTTCGGCAATGATATATATACTGTAGATCAACTTTTTTTACTAGACTCCCCCCGTCAGTATATATGAGAAACTTAACTCAATTAAAGTTGAACTATTATTCATGTAAAAGCATTGTTTAAAGTTAAATACATGCTATTTCCTGCTGACGTTTGCATAAAAATGTATTTTTGATAGTAGACAAAAATACGAAAACACCACCGACTGATATTTATAAAATTTACCTTCTCTGTAATAAGTCCTACGACAGGAGGTGAGACAAAGCCGGAGATGGCACCACAAGAATTAGAAATTCCAAACAGGATTCCTGCATACGCCGGGGCAATGTCCATATGATTGATGAGGAATCCACTGTACTGAAGGGCAGAAAAACTGACCCCGAGGGTGAGTAGAGCAATGGCCAGACCCTTCATTGTACAGTCTAAGTACCCAAGGCCTATTAGCAGCAAAGCTGGTAACACTTTACCTAAAATTAGGGATTCTTGATTGCATATTATCTCGAAACTTTCAAAATCAACGTACAAACGATATGTTTGCAGACATAAGTAGTTTTGCATAAAGTACGTACACACAAAATACCTGAAACTTCAAAGATTTTTCGAGTCATTGTGGTTGATAGACATTTTTGGGTGAAGTCAGCAAAGACCCCAGCAACATTTACCACAAACCAAAATCCGATATAGGGTAATGCTGAATAGAGTCCATTCTGTGAAAATCACAATAGTAAATGTGGAAATTCTTTTATATGTATAAAACAATATCCACATGTATAAAATGCAAACATTGCATGTTTTACGTACTGGAGACATAAGGAAACTTTGAATACCGATTTTTGCAATTTACTTTTGCGATACTTGAAAATATAAGCAATATTTAATACATTTCTCCAATGACCGAGCCATTACTCGGAAATACTACCGAGTATATTATTTCAAACACGTTTATGGCAAATTATTTTAAAATAACTTCTTAGCGAGAATTGTGACCTGTTTATGGCTGTTGTTGTACTTTTACTATTCTTGCAAATAATATTATGCTTCTATTTCAACCCTGTAATACTAAATGTCTAACCACTTACTGAGGTGATGTCTAGTTTGAGAACCTCTTTCATGTAACTTGGGATGTTGGTTAGAAATGTGTACCCTCCCCAGTCACTAGCAATGTTAGACAGAATGATGGCAAACACAGGCGGGGAGGTAAATATACTCCTCCAAGGAACCTTCAAGTCCTGAGGAAATAATTTGTACATATGCTTCATGAAGACCATTTCAAATGCTTTAACGTTATTATATGAGGCACCGTTTTGGTATTTACTGGCAAAAAGTTATATCACCTATTCGAATAGGTGATATCACCTATTCGAGTTGGTGATATCACCTATTGGAAATGAAAAGGTGATATCACCTATTCGTGCTGAATAGGTGATATCACCTATTCGAATAAGTGATATCACCAATTCGAATAGGTGATATCACCTATTTGAATTTCTTACAACAATAAATAATGAATGCTCCCTATAATATATAGACAAGAAAATTCGGAATACCCAGTTTTCATGCGTTTTTCAAATTTTTCTTAAGGTTTACATGATAGATAAGTGAAGCAAATTAATTTGTGAGCAAAACAAACTATAATTTCTATTGGGGTTGATTAAAATTAAATGCAAAACTGTAATCTATTGTCTCCTAGAATGATGAGTTATAAAACGAAAGTGAAAGTAAATAAGATTTAGGGAACTATAATCTTGGGAGCTGTTATTATTTCATAAATAATTTGAATAGGTGATATCACCTATTCGAATAGGTGATATCATCTATTCAAAATGATATGGTGATATCACCTATTCGAAAAGGTGATATCACCTAATCGAAAGGTGATATCACCTATTCAGTTTGAATAGGTGATATCACTTATTCGAATAAGTGATATCACATATTCGAAAGGAATAGTTAATATCACACATTCGAATAAGAGATATCACCTTTTCGAATAAGTGATATCACCTTTTAGAATAAGTGATATCACCAACTCAAATCAAATAGGTGATATCACAAATTCAAATCAAATAGGTGATTACACGTATTTGAATACGTGATAACACCTATTTGAATAGGTGATATCGCTTTTTGGAGTTAATACCAAAACGGCGCCCCATATTATTATATATATGTTAAAACATAACGGTGAAACTTTTTAAGATGAGGTTTATGCCAGTTTCTATGCATTTGTACCATTTGGTAATATTTCATGGTTAATAGTATATTGTATATACAATTAAAGTTTATCACTGAAGGAGTATTTGAGTATGATCTCCGAGACCAAAACTATTTGCCGAGCGACGTAATCCCTGTCGAGGGAAATTTCCTAACTGATACTATTAAGCTTATAGAGCAGGGATTAGCATACTTGACTATCACACAACAAAACAGGGATTAGTCAATGTACATCGATTTCAATCATGGAACTATTCTTACCTAGCGATCTATAATTTTACAAATGGAAAAATCAGTAGAGGTATAATAACAATATTTTGTGATTAAAACCTCATTTGCTTTCTTCGTGATTAAAACCTCATTTGCTTTCTTCATGTTTTTTTTTTTCAAAATGAGTGGTCACGTGAACTTATAATGCTAATCACCTTACTGTCTTGCGGACGGGTAGTGTTTCGCAGTGACTGTTTGATGTATTGTTTCTCTATAGTAGAAATACGTTTATGTTGCTCTGGCGAATCACTGGTTAGAACCATCCACAAAATAACCCAAATCATACTTAGGGGGCCTACAAAACCACTGAAATAAATACAACTCTAACAGAGTCTTTAATTAGAATCGAAAACGCCAATTATACACTTACTAACTGATAATGCAGTTATTGATAATACTGACATATAATTCAAATATGTATTATTAATAGTAGATTTACACAGCTTGATCGTGTCTTATAAAATGCATATGTTTTTGAAACAGTAGCTTGTATAATAATAGAAAAGAAACAAACAAAAATATTTTTTGAACAATTATAGCATTATGTATGGTCTGCATGTAAATAACAGCAATCAAAGAAAAAATTCTATTCATTGTACCTAGTACGTAGAAAATTGAGGGCCATCCTCCAGCAAACCCGTATTTACACAACAAAGAAGATAATGGAAAGGTTATAACAATCCCTGCTTGTGATCCTGAAACATTGCATGAAACATTAAAGTAAAATTCTAGTAGCTCCAGTTGATGATAAAAGTATTGTCAGAAAGTCAATCCGATATAGATAAATTTATATACATGTATATACATGTATAATGTTTTCTCAATACCTGCATACGTAAACGCAGTTAGTTTGCTTCTTTCCAAAGGAGGGGCCCATTTGCCCCAAATTGTATGCATGGAAGGGAAAACTGTACCCTGAAATAAATGACAGTTATGCAGTTTCTAAAGTTTATTATGTATAAGTACTGTGAATTTGATATTTAAGAATGCTGGACTTTCTTAGTTTAAAATATGTAGTCGTTGGAGGCCAAACCTTGCAACAATTTGTTGGAATTCCAATGGACACAAATTTTACTCCTTTACTTACCGACCCGATTTTTGCATTCTTATGAAGCAGAATTCATTCCAAAACTTCAATATTAGATTTATTTTAGTTTTTAACTCGATATTTAGATATATATTGTCAAGTTCATCAATTTAGTTACCGTGTAATTATAGACATTATTGGACAACTAACAACCAAACAATCCGAGAAAAAAAATTGGATGGAGACAGTTTGTAGTAATAACCCACTCGTCATCTGCACATGGTGTTTTTGTCTTTCATCTGATTCGGCACACGAGAGCATGTTCTGTGTACGATCGACCGAGGAAGGCCATTGACAAATAAATTGATATTTATCTATCTAAAAATTATATTTTTGGTGCAATGATTGCAACCGTTCATTCATGCATAACATACCAAAAAAAATATTAATATTTGTATGAATCATAAATAAAGAGCGAGTGGGTGATACATGAAAGTACTTTAAATAAGTTATTGCTTTATATATGCTTATTTGCATTGACTGATGGACCATGAAACATGCAGCTGACTTTTATCACTTTTGAAAAAAAGCCTGCATATGGTCGAATTTCAAATCGGAACCAACACTCGGTTAAAAAGAAAATGTGTTTATTGACTGACAGTCAGCAATCGGTTTTAATAAGAGAATTTTTTTAAAAGTTATTTTTAATGGGTATAACTATTAAGATTAGGGCCTGCAACCGAAATGTCTCATTTTCTTTCAACTGAGACATCGTTGTTAAAGTTTTACCTTAAATTGTGTTAGTAAGTACATAATAAATACAGAAGTTTTATTTACGTGTCACAAGCCAAACACTCGTTTGCAAGCAAAAGATGAACATAAAACACATTCAGAATGTGCTGTATCAGTGCTTTCTGTGTGGAAAATATTCATAAGAACTAGATCTAAAACAATCAAGTAGAAGATGAATTCCCTCACCTAGGAGATTATGCAAAAAACAGGAATGTGTATTGTGGGAACCTCTGAATGACAGTTCTAATAAGCTATAAAGCATTTTTGCAACCTCAGATAACATCATTAGACGATGGTTCTACTGTCTACTGTGTGAAATCTACCTTCATTTTGTCTACTTTATAATCCCCCAAAGCCATTTTTATGATAATTTTGAAAATATTTTCTTTTCATCTTCGTTATAACAACGCTTATCTGTTATATAAAATTTCAATTTTCACACAGAATATATGTGTCTTTTTGTGACAGTTTTCTTGTTTATCATTTATTGAATAATTCACATCATCTTCAAAGAAGATTTTTTTCCTTTCTTTGTTTTTTTTTTTAAATTGTCTTATTTACAATTCCTAATGCAGCTGTTTTTTAAAATTTTTATTTGTTTAATCAAGCCATGTCACTCTAAAAAAGCATTTTCATTTTTTCCCTAAAATCGCCGCATATATATATTAATAAAGAGAAGATTTACAATATCCGACTTACCGAAGCAATGCCCATGACGATTCTTATGACCATGAGGAAAACAAAGCCTGTCTGGGCAGCAAAGGGGGTCAGGATCGTACAGACAGAACAGACGGTCATCCCGAGGCCTAAAACCCTCTTCCCGCCAAATTTTGCGGCTACCCATCCTCCTAGGACCTGTGTCGTAAGGTATCCCCAGAAGAAAGACCCGAGTATAAGACCCTGTGTTGTCTTGTCCCAAACTATTTCACCGTCCTGGGTATATAAAACAAATTTACAAGAGGTTGCCTAAAGATGGCTATTTCCAGCCTGTATATTTTTTTTATATGTCTCATTTACATCATTGTACATTGTATGAATACGTTCAAAAATGCACTGGTATACAAATCAAATTTATATGGACTATATAATATATAATTTTAACAAACAAGAATTGAACCTCAAATTTCCTTTCCATTGTTTGATTGGTATTTCCAGATACAAGTCCACAATTACTATCAAAATGCTGGTTTACTGGATCAGAGGAGTTTCTGTTGTTCGTTTCGGTTTTCGAATTTAAGTGTACTGCTGTTCCGTTGACCATGCAAACTATGGCCACACTGAGATTAACTCGCAAGGCATACAGATTTATAAACCCAAAAAATCCCAGAACAGCCAGACCAAGACGACAGGATGTCCACCAGGGAACTAAAAAAGAAACGATTTTTTTTTTCATTCCTTAATTTTATTGTTGTTGTTGTTGTTGTTGTTACTGAAAATGGGTACATTTAATTTTGTAATGTATTATGGGAATATTAAATTTAACTTTGCAATATATGTGTATAGGCTTTACAATATTTTTGTCCCCCGCTTGAAAAGGGGGGGATATTAATTTGGGTTTGTCCGTCCGTCAGTCCGTCCGTCCGTCCGTCTTTCTGTCTGTCTGTAACGCTTTCGTTTCCACACGATATCTCGAGAACCCTTTGAGCTTTCGCAATGAAATTTTGCGTAGCAACTCCCTATGGACTAAAGAAGAACCCTATTGATTTTGAGGTCAAAAGGTCAAAGGTCAAGGTCATAAATAAGCAAATTCTTTCTGTTATAACACTTTCGTTTCCACACGATATCTCTAGAACCATTTGAGCTATTGCAATGAAATTTTACATAACTCCCTGAGGCCTAATGAAGACCTCTATTGATTTTGAGGTCAAAAGGTCAAAGTTCAAGGTCGTAAATTTATACATTCTGTCTGTATGAAACACTATCATTTCCGGGCGATATTTCAAGAGGATTTTGAGCTATTGCAATGTAATTTTATACCAAAACTCCCTAGAACCTCTCTCACCCCTATCAAAGTGTCCCGCCCCGTTTGTTTTAATAGTATTTATTGTATTACATGTCGCTATTTTTAGCACAGGGGCATGAGGAGAGTTATTACGTATAAAACAGGCTTTCGGTGGACTTTATATTGTTATTACATCTATTACAACTGTTTAATAAAGGTTAAATTAGATATCATGCATTGTGTCAAATTTTGACAATATCGAACGTGAATGTATACATGTATGTGACTTCATCTTTGCATGTAATTTTCGCCAGTTCTGTGGTCTAGTGGTATGTCTCTCGCTTCACATATGAGAGGACGCGGGTTCGCATCCCGGGCGATCTATTTTTCTTTTTTTCCGAAATACTTTTTTTTAAAAATAAATTATAGTATTCATGTGAAATGAAAAATTTATGAGGTCTGGCTTGTACAAACTCGAAATCATCATTACAGTGTGATAAATATTCCCTATAAAAAAAATCTTCTGTACACATCATAAAGAATAAGCAATCAAACCTTTATATCCATGTTGGCATATTTTATTTGCTTCGGTATGTACAAGTATACATTTAACAATTGTACAAATTCAGTCAAGGGGATCCGAACCCCCCCCCCCCCACCGACCCCCGAACTGCGCATGGTTTACTTTTTCCCTAAGCGGGGGGGGGGGGGGGACACAAATTCTCTGAATTAGCTTGTTCACATTAGTAAGTAATTTAGAATTATAGTGTAAGCAATATAAACATAGTATAATGTATTTTAAAATCGTTATATATTAATCGTACTTCTGTAAATTATAAAGCCGTTGGATATATTTTGATAATTTAGTTAAACAGAAATTCTACGCGATAAAAATAAATTTAATAATAGCACCTTGTACCGCCTCAAATGACATAAACATGCTGTCTTTTTTTTTTTTCAATTTTAGATAACTAATAATTTGTAAAGATGCTTTAAAAAGTTTAAGAAATATCCTACGTCCTACTGACAAAAGATGACCAGAAAAACTAGTTTTTCAATTTTCGATTAAAAAAAAGACTTTGATTTTCAACCTCGTTCGCCTTTTACTTGGTTATAATTATACAGCTAAATTTAACTTTGATAACACATCCGTGATAGATGAAAGAACAAAAAATTATCGTAGAGGCAATTACGGTTACAAATACTGTACATTCAGAAAAATGATGAATTTGGAAACAATCATTCAAAGAAAAATGTCTACTTTTATTAGAAACTTCACTAAACGTGCTCTCAAAAATAAGTGAAAACATATACCTACACGCATAATACGAGTATTGTGTGCTATTTGTCATTCCTCATACTCACGCATGTTATCAAACACTTATTATTATGCTTCCTGTCAGTTTGTCTCTATATAACCCATACCCTACTATTCTCGCATAGTGGTCTAAGGATTTATATAGCGTAAGCATACTATGCCGAAATAGTGCACGGCTTTATTTACTGAATAAAATTCTTCCATGCATATGCCGGGGATCGCACTCACGACCATGTGATTGTCAGTCCGATGCCTTATCGATTACGCCATAGAGACGATCACTAATTGGTGTCATTTTATTAAATATATAAACTTAATTTATACAATTGACACAAGAAGGAGAAAATAGACAAATATTATTTGAAAACAGTTATATTATTCTAAGGAACTTTAGATTAATGTGTACAACAAACTTTCAAACTAATTACATACAGATCGTTAGATGAACTGATTTTATAGGGTCATTAAAACGCTTTTTTATATGACGCTTGATTGAAGGATGTAAAAGAAAATTATCAATGAGAATCGACGTCTGCAAACAAATAAGGCTTACGAACAAAACAGAAAATAAAGATGTGTTGCTTTGGGACAGAAAATCCCGACTTATTTAGAGAAAATACTAGTAACCAAAATAACTAAGCATGCAAACAATTTTAGCATGAATATTTTGAATTAGTTCTTGAAGGTGCGCTGTTTAAGCACCGATATTTTCAGGAAAAGTCAAATAGATTGCCGCATAAATAATTACAACAGTCAGCATAATAATAACAATAGTGTTGCATTATGCATGTACTATGCCTAAATAGTAGGCAGGGTTTGACACATAGTGCACTCGCCTCCGGCTCGAATGCACCATGTGTCAAACCCTGCCTACTATTTAGGCATAGTACATGCGTAATGCAACACTATTATATAAATATTTGTCCCCATTTTTCATTTATATTTGTATGCTATTGTAATATTATGATATATATTTCATTTTAAGTGACATTTTCTTGTGCTATATACAATAAATTTCACTAAATAACTGTCTATTTATATACTAGGAAAGTATATAAACGTCGTACAATCACTTATTTATCTTTTAAGAAACTATATTGCATGTACTGTCATTAAAGTGCTACAGATTGTGTAAGTAGATTTAAATCTTCATATCTTATTCTTAAGAATCACGATCTTTTGTACATTCACGGGTCGATTTCATATACAATGAATATGTAGTCTCAAAACCCCCTATCGTATATTCAACAGACACTTGAACTGACGTTTTTAACCTAAGCTTTCTTTTCATAAATAAAAATTTTCCCCATAGTGTTAGTATAATAGTAATGTTTTTTTTTTTTTCATTTTCTTTTTTATTTGTAAAACGTCAAGTGCCTGGGATCGTATTCTTGCATGTTTGATTCACCAAAAACATTACTACAATACATGTATATACCAGTATATAAATTCTATTATGAATGCACCCACCATCTTTGGGATCTATGAAAGCCTCTTCTATTCCTGCCTTATCAATCAAAGCATCCTTAGTTTTAGCCATTGTATGATTTGTATTCTTCAGTGTGAGCAGACTTCAGCTAACCAAGATCCTGAGAGATGCATGTCAATTTCCAACAGTTGGTGTCACAAATACCTATAAATCCCAAAGCAAAACATTCAGATAGTAACCTTGCTCATGTCTCCATGTTTTTTAGTGGGTAGAGGGAAACTTTTTAGGTTACGAACAAAGCAAAAACAAATATATGCGCGCGGCACTCCAATAAATAGGGCAGGCATTGCACTGGGGGAAATCTGACCTTGTGAAGTAATCAATACTGTTTTAATGTTAAGGCAAATCCTTGTAAACTATCTAGACTTTTCTCTTGAATAATAATGATTTTATTTTTTAAGTCCCGTAATTGAAGATTTGGGGGTATTATATAGTGTTTGTCTTGTCCGTCCGTCTGTCTGCCTAGCTGTCTGTTTTTCCGCAAAAAACTTGAACCTTCCTCATAACTTTTTTTAAGTGGGTGTAGCTATGGTTTTCTTCGGAAGTATATTTTATCTAGCGACCGAATTCTCTTTAGAAGAAGTGGGTGTAGATGTAAATAAGATGAGTATTGGCATCAGTTTGTCCACTTTGGCCACTTTTGCATTGGCATAACTTTTGAACAGTTGGTGCTAAGAGGGCCTTTAATTCATACTTCACCAGTGTATTCGTTGTGACAAGACTTAATATCTGCAAATATTGAAAAGTACATTCTAAAGCAAGCTTTAACTTACTCATTAAATGTTTCTACAATAATTTTCTTTAAAATTTATATTTTGTATTCTTGGTCAGTCATTTAGATTTAAAAAAAAAAATGTGTCTGTGATTACCACTGATGCCCACTAATAACAGCTTTTGGCGAAAGTTGAATTTTTAAATCGCGAAACTATGAGGTCAAGAGATGTAATGTTGTTACCCAAAGAAAGCCATGTTCTCAGTAAATATACCTGTGAACTATGAAAGCCGAAACACTAAAAATTTAAAAGTTATAGCGAAGGCCACAACAATTTATTTTCTTGTTCCGCGGACATCCGATGAAAAAAAGTAGCAGCGGACAATGGATTAAATTATAATATTATTACTTTATTGCGGGCAAATTTTTTAGGCGGGTTATGAATAAATTGAACGGACAATTATATTTTACTACCTTTTTATAATTTGTAGAGTTAGCAGATGTGAAATACAAAAGTCCGAATTTATCGGAAATATAACAGAAATTATCATGTTTTCTTTCGTGTTTAGATATGTCACTTTGTGTCAGTTTTTAAATTTAATTTTATACAAAAATTTTTGACACCGCAGAGGCAGATCCAGAAATCTTGAAAAGGGGGTGGGTCAACCATTTTGGGGTCAGGGTAGGGGGGCAGCCACACCAAAAAACATTGATTTATCAAATCTTGTGTATTTTTTGGACACAAAAGGGGGACCCGCCCGCCCCCTCTTATTCCGCCAGTGCACTGTGACAAAATCTTACAAAAGTCTCCCACATAACCTTGAAAATATTATTCAAGTTACCAATTCATCTATGAGAAATATTGCTTATTTCTGAAAAAAGGTTTGTTGGATTATTTATCCTTAAAGTTTGAATTAGCATTAAATATTTCGTATATTGAGACTTAATATAATGAGTATATACATGTATATATAGAGAGGGGGAAGCTAAATCAACTGAGCTATAATGCTACCTTTGCACTGTCCTGAGCGATTTGCACCTGCATTTCTATGCATGTCAAAAAGTTTTCTTTTATTGCCCTAGTTTTAGATGTGTAATTAACAGAAGGAAGATTTTGCTGGCATATTTTTCTGTCATATTTGATTTTGTCTGTTAAAAGATTATATAACGATATCGTAAACATACATATAAACTTTTCATTAAATATTAAAAAAAATCATTATAAAACATTGCTAAGTAGATTTATTATGCAAAAAAAAAATCAAGTAAAGGCTAAATACAAACAAAAAATGCATTCTAATTTGATGTATATGAAAACTATTTAACTAAATCCTCATCAATACAAGATGATTTAAAATTTTAAAGGTGCAAATAATGTGGGTCTATAAAACATATCAATCATATGTATATAATATACCTCTATTATAAAGATCTAATTTTCCCTGTGATATCACTAGTAGTCACATTATGATACAATCTTGTGATGTAAACAAATACCATATGTGTACAAAAATTGGTGCATTCAAAATTTAGCGCAATCACTGGGTATGGAGTTGTTGGTGTTATCATGATTTAGCGCTACACATGTCTGTGCTATGTATTGTATATATCAATGATTTCTTAGTGATATTCATAAATTAGCGCATCCCTGACTGAATATGAAGCCCGTTTTTTTAAGTACACATACAGTATTTATTCAGAACACTGAATACATTGGGCAACAGGCAAACTGCCTATAAATAACCTATCTATACGAGGTACAATCTTCAGCATAAGTATAAATTTTATACATATATCAGACAGAGTTTAAAGTCAATTCAACTATAAAAATGGTTATGTTGACATAAACTAAGTTGCATGCATGTCTACATCTTTCATCTATGATGTCAGATACGGGAGTTATTAAGTAAATTTAATGTAAAATCATTTAATGTAACATTCTTTTGTTCAAATATTTTTAAAAATATGAATCATAACATCATGCAACAGGAAAAATATAGGGATATTTGTATAACAACATCAAAAAGAAACTTAAAGATTAATGTGCACAATATATTTGAGGAAAACAAGTTTAAAATCATTATTCCTCCATAACTTAGGGTTTTTTTTCCCAAGGCAACATTTTCAACAATAACAAGCAATACTTGCATACTATTAACTTACTGAAAAAAAGACAGTACAAGACACTGAAAATATTCAATAAGATGTTAAAAATAACATTTACACTGAAAATTTGAAGAATAAAAATCTGACAAAGCATTTGGATATGCATTGATATTTGTATACCCTAGTGAGATCAAAAATAAGTTATAAAGGATGTAATGAATACAATAAGAATATCAGAAATCTGTCAATATGGCTGAAATATGAGACAATATTATGAAATCTTGTAATGAGACAATGTATCGAAAAAATATATTAATTTTAGAATATAATATTATGAAATAAAAAGAAATCAACTTCTAGCTTGTTCATGACTTGTAGTATGTAGTCTAGCTACTCTCATTTGAATTCCAATGTACTGAAATACATGTATACTAGGTTCCATATCTTGTGCGCTTTTGTGCATTAGCTATTGTTTTTTTTCCAACTTGAGTTCCTCAATTTTTTAATTGTCAATAGACAGGAGGCTTGCGAAGCACCTATTGACAATTAAAAATGTTAAGGAACTTTAGCTGCAATGAATAAAACTGGTAACTAAAATTACACAAATTATTGAACCCTTTTTCCCCTTTACTCTACTAAAAATCTTCAAATATAAATGAACATTAAAAACCTAGTCTTGCTCCAAACACATTACATATAAAAGCAACGTGACATTATAATTGATCTGTATTCTCTAAATACTAAAGAGCCAAAACAAAGAATTCCATCACAGAAGTGCTGATACATATAATTGGTAATGGGAGAAATAACTTTCTTAAATAAGTTTATATATAAAATATATGCCTTTATGACAGGAAAATGATCAGCATGATGAAAATTCCCTTAGCTACACTATGGAGGTATTTATTGAACCACTGACCTTCCCACGGCTTTGAATGTACACCCATCACCTAAAATGCCCAAGTTACCTTATAGCAGATGTGTTCTTCTAATCTGATAATTTCTTCCATAACTATATGTATCATTAACATACATATATCTCTAAATTTCATGCATTCTCCATATCTTTGTTTTTAAAGGTCCCTGATTTATCTTCTAATATGTTCAGCTCCTCTACTTCCAATGTCTTTTCCTCCATGGCCCACTTCTGAAGTTGTCCTGAGCCAAAGACCAGATAGAATAAAGCACTCCCGAGGTAGATGGCAGCTGCTACATAAAAGACTACCTGCCACTCAGACTGACTCTGGTTCTGAAAAAGAAAGAGAAAGAGATAAACTAGAGGTCCATGGTCCACAATGCTCACTTTGGTCCTAATGTTCTACATATTGGTAGTGGCTCAGGTGAGCTAAAGATGTTGCCTCAATATTTTTTTACTCTTTGACTTCCATTTATCACCCCCTTACAACAGAGTTGAGGGGATAAAGTAACACAATCGTGAGTGTATGTTACTTTGTCTATGTGCAAAAAGGAAGTTACATAAACCAAATAATCCAATTCATCCTCAATGAAATAAAGTCAAACTTCGTTATCTCGAACTTGATAGGACCGAGAAAATACTTCGAGATATCCAAGGATTTGAGATATTGAGGGTAAAATACTTAAGAAATATACGCTTGGGACTTCAAAATCACTTCGACATATCCACTGTATTCAAGATATCGGTGTTTGAGATATCAAAGTTCAACTGTACTCACTTAAAATACTTTAAATTAAGATTTTAAACCTGGTCTTACCTCCTCTGTGATGAGTCCAACAACAGCTGGCGATATGAACCCTGTAATGGCACCTGCAGCGTTCGTGATTCCGAACAAGATTCCTGCAAATGCTGGGGCAATGTCCATGTGATTGATGAGGAATCCACTGTACTGCAGGCCAGATAAACTGACTCCCAGGGTCAACAAAGCAATGGCCAGACCCTTCATCGTGCAGTCTAAGTACCCAAGACCTATTAGGAGCAATGCTGGTATAACCTTACCTGTAAAGCAGGGGAGGAATTTTAACATTTGAACTATGCAGACATTTGTAGTGTATGAAAAAAATACATAATTATATTCAGCAATGAAGATTTAAGAATAATTATTTTATTTCATAGGAGTAAAGATTATTTTAGGAATGTATGTACATGTACAATGTATTTCTCTTGGATGTGTAAACTCCAATTTACAAAAATCAAGTTAATGATATTTATATTATGAATATGAAAAAATATGCCTTTTTCCTTTCATTTTCATTAAATCCATGACTTTTGTAACTTTAAAACAGTTCTAAGATTCTGAGTTGGTAATTTCTTTAACTGTCCCCAACTATATGTACATGGTATAATTGGTATTTCACAGAAAATGCAAACATGCATAATGTGAAAGTATTGCATGTATTATTATGAATTTTGAAAAGGAAAAATTTAGTAATAACATATTATACGTGTGTGCTTCAAATTCAGATAAAATTAACAGTTTCACTCTTTGTTCAGGTCCTCTTTGCCATCTCAAATGTCAAGCAAAATTATTAATATATACATAATCATGCTTATACTTGTAATTCTTCCTGATGTTACCATGAGTACATGTATTTAGAATTTAAATGTGTCCCTGTAGATATTGACTCTAGCCATCAAAACTAGATCTTTAATTTTAACAGATTTCAGTTTTAATACAGGCTGTAAATGCTGACAATACCTGAGATATCAAACAATTTACGGGTGGCAGTGGTTGACAAACGTTTTTGTGTGAAGTCTGCTAGTATGCCAGCAATGTTGATCACACCCCAGAAACCAACGTAGGGCAGAGCAGAGTAGAAACCATTCTATAAGATGAAAGGACTCAGCATTTTATTACACATATGTTATACTTTGGAGTCACAGGAATTTTTTTGATGAGTGGAATTTAAACACAGGTACATACCATACAAGTGGAAATTTTAGCGAGACGCAAATTTAGCGATTTGTCCTTAAAAACTGGTAATTTATTTTTAGCGAGATGTTATTCTAGCGATTTTAAAATGCACATTAAAGAAGCTATTACAAATAAAACACAATTAATTTTTAGCGATATTTAATTTTAGCGATCTCGGCACCCTCGCTAATAATGCCAAAATTAAATCCTCGCTAAAAATTCTACTTATACGGTATCAGTATCTCGAACGTGGGATATCTCAAATAACATGCTGATGTCAAGGTTGATCACCAGTCCAGGCCATATTCTCTACCCCAAAATATCTCAAAGTTTTGTCAGGGTCCCCTAAAATTCGAGACTCTGATATTTCAATATATATAATATCCAAACATGTATATCTTTTTTGTATTTTGAAGTCATAGGAGGCACATGAGCTTTACAGGTCACCGGAGTATTATGTAACAACTTTTCAACCACTGAAGTTGGTTAAAGCCCTGCCCTAACACCTGAACCCCTGACCCTGGGACCATGAAATTCACTATTTTAGAAGAGGCACCTTTCCTCAAGATAACTATGTATGCAATTGGTTTGTTTAATACCTAGGAGCAGTTTAAAGAAGATTTTCAAAGAATGAATGCATTTTCACTAGAAAACTTACGGAGGTAATGTCTAATTTTAGAACTTCCTTCATATAGGTAGGAATATTAGTCAGGAGGGTGTAGCCTCCCCAATCACATGCCACGTTAGAAATAACAATGGCATACACTGGTAAAGATGTGAATATATTCTTCCAAGGAACCTTCAGATCCTGCAAATATCCAATAAGAAAAATGTAAAATTACTGAGAAAAATATATTGTCCAAGCATGTACCTCAGCATAGTAAGTGATTGATAGAAAAAAAGTGCAGGGCATGAAATATGAAGCTTTAAACAAATTAGTACGATGAACTATTTCAAATTAAAATTTTTATTAAAGTTTGAATTAATATCCAACATTGTAAAATTCTTACTTTGCCTTCTTCTTTGTGGGCTGTATTTTTAAGTGACTGTCTTATATACAGCTTCTCAATATGAGAAATCCTTTTGTGTCCTTCTGGTGAATCGCTGGTTAGAAGCATCCATAGCACAACCCATACTGTGTTAGTAATGCCTATAATACAACCCATATTGTCTTTACAGTACAACCCAGTGTTTACAATACAACTTATACTGTGTTTACAATGCCTACAATACAACCACACTGTGTTAACAATGCCTACAATACAACCCATACTGTGTTTACAATGCCTACAATACAACTTATACTGTGTTTACAATGCCTACAATACAACTCATACTGTGTTTACAATGCCTACAATACAACCCATACTGTGTTTACAATGCCTACAATACAACCCATATTGTGTTTACAATGTCTACAATACAACCCATACTGTGTTTACAATGCCTACAATACAACCCATACTGTGTTTACAATGTCTACAATACAACCCATACTGTGTTTACAATGTCTACAATACTTGGTCAACTAACATACAATACAGTAAAACTCAGTTATAACGTAGTCACCGTGACCTATGAAATTTATTTGCTATATCCGTAATTTGTTTTATCCTTCTAGGGAGTTCGTTAAATTTACATAGCTGGAGATCCAAGATAACTTTGCTATATCTGTGAATTTGCATAATGTCCGTGTTCATACTAGAAGAGTTTTGCTGTATGCCCCCCTCTTCAACAGGAATTTTTTTTCAAAATATCAAACGATACTACTACCTACCCGTTATGTAGAAAATAGAAGGCCATCCACCAGCAAAGCCATACTTGCACAATAAAGATGCAATTGGGAAAGTTATTACTATTCCTGCTATGCCTCCTGCAAAAGAAATGTAAGGATGAATAATTGTTTTGGAACTAAGAAATATCTCTTCAGAATTCAAGCACATACCACACCAATTTTGTAAAAATGTGTGGTTTATGGAAAAAAGAAGTTTATAAGCTCTAGATATTTAATTTTGTCATTACCTGCATAGGTAAATGCTGTCAGTTTGCTCCGTTCTAGAGGGGGAGCCCATTTTCCCCATACTGTGTGCATGGCTGGGAAAACTGTACCCTGAGAGTAATAAGAAAGTGTGTAAATAAATTCTAATACAATCTTTTCAAGAATTGAAATTAAATGTATTGATTTCTTAAAATCCTAACATTGATTCTTGGCAATGTGATGCACATCAGTAAATATTATCTTATCAGACTGTAGCTCTACTGGTTTCAATTGATGTAAATTCCTAAATATAGGCATGGAATTAATTATCGTGTAATTTCACGAGAGGTACCACTCACGAAATAAAATTACTCGCCTTTATTTTTATGGTACTGAAATCTATGTAATATCTTGATCAACCGTTCATTTGCGAGTTATTATTCTCGCGATTTGACGTTGAAGAGCTCATTTGCAATAAGAAGTACTCGCGAAAAATAAGGAATCTACAGTAAATAAGTTCAGCAAAAACCCAGAGTACATTGAACATGCTGAAGAATGTAACAAATTATTTTATTTCTAATGAATATTTCTGTACTCTGCTTTTGCAAAAGCTAATGGGACATCAAATCTCATTTGTCCTTCAGTCTGTCTCAAAAACTTTGGTCACTACTTTTAAATGAGAAAAGATTGGGTTTTCATAATTCAAATTTCATTACCTGTGACAAGACCTTTCCAAATATGCAATGACTTTTGACTCCATGATCTTGAACTTGAAGTCTGAGCTAATTTTCAACAATATTTAACATAACTTTAAATTGATCATTACTTTTGTATGAAACAAGCTAATTAAAAGAATTGTGGTCCCCTGCTTTTGTTTTTTTTTGTGTGTGTTTGGGATGTCATTATTTATGGCATATTGTGTCAAATATGAATGCCCTATTATATGTCATTCAAAAGGTATTGCCAAAGTTGATTTTTTTTTTAAAATAAGGTCAATTATGAAGGTCAAGGGGTTAGAAATCATAACATGTTCGAAAATATCTTGTCACAGGTAAAACATGTCAAATATAAAAGCCCTATCTCTTCTACATGTATATCAAAAGTTATAAGGAAAAGAAACATTTTTGAAAAGTAGATCAAACATAAAGGCCAGGGTCATGGGGCGAAAAATCAAGTATATTTAGAAAGGTTTTGTCATAGGTAATATACATGTGAAAGTCCTAAATCATTTCATCCAAAAGTTGTGACCAAGGTTTAAGTTTTTGAAATAAGTTCAAAATTCAGGGTCATAGTCAAACATATCATAGCTGTATTTAGAAATATCTTGTCACAGGTTATACACATGTGTAGTATTAAAGTCCTATCTATTTTCATTCAAAAGTTTTAGCCAATTTAAAGTATTAAATTTTTGAAAAGTAGGTCAAAATCCAAGGTCAAGGTCACAGGGTCAAAAAAATCATAGTACATTTAGAAAGATCTTGTCACAGGTAATACAAATATGTTAAATGAAAATCTTATCTCTTCTCAATCAAAAGATATGACCAACATTAGAGTTTTTGTGATAGACAAATGGGATTATATGCCCCCTTGCTTTCGCGAAAGCCGGGGACTACAAGAAAGGGCTTTCATGTTAAACATGTATACAACCTGTGTCAAGACCTTTCGAAATATACTGTGATTTTGAACCCTGAAGTTCGATCTTTTCAAAATTTGATCTTTGCTTATAACTTTTGATAATTGAGAAAAGATTATAAGGCTTTCATATTTGACGTATGCAATACCTGTGTCAAGTCATTCTATGATTTTTTTTACTCCTTCCTGTGACCTTCAAGTTTGTATAAATTTTCAACAATTTTAGCTTTGGTGATTACTTTTGAATGACAGGGGATAGAGTGTTCATTTTTGACAAGTGCTTTACCTGAGTCAAATTGTTTCTGAACATGCTTTGATATTTTCCCCATCCCATGACCTTGAACTTCATATTTGACTTAATTTCAAACATTTTTTCAGTGTTGCTCAAAACATCTCCCATCCACTAAGACACTGGACAGACTGAATGAATGAGATTTATGTCTCCTCGCTTTTGTAAAAAAAATTATGAAAATCTGACTAAAACTTATATGAATTTTTTTTTAATATTTGTACCCTATATCTAGCAACCACAACAACATTGTTAAAAAAAATGAAAATAAATTATTTCAACAATGTATTCTAATTGTTTGTTAGGTTTTACAGATACATGTTTATCGCAAAAACGGTAGATTTGGGGTAGTAATAATTTGAAAAAATTTTCAAACGTAAAACAGACTGGAACAAACGAAAAGACAACTAGATGAATAAACCATAGACTATTTACTCTCACAAAAGCTACGAGGGCCGTTCAAAAATTAACTTAACAAAAACGAACTTGTTGCACAGAAAAAATATTTGACGACATAATCAGGCAAAATTTCACACATAATATAAGAGAATCTTTTCTTATATGGTCTTCAAAATTTCATATCAAAATGTTGTAAATTGGTATCAATTTTGAGTGATTTATCAGGACATATCATTAAGTCACGGAGTAGCAAAATCATTGAATTCACAGGCATTATAAAAAAAAAAATTTTTTTGAGCTTTCATTTTCTCATTTTTTTCCCAAGAGTACCTGAACAGTTTGAGTTACCTTATCTATTCAACATCCAAACACCATTTCTTGTCAACCTTAAATCTATTAAACAAGTAAAGAATATTCTTTTTTTGTATTAAAACCAAAAACTGCAGTTATTTATGAGATATAGTGTGATATTGGTGACTCTCAATCACGTTCTTTACAGTCCGGATAAAGTTTTCGTCGTCGATCTTCTTCCCGTCCTCCCGTATAGCCTTTTTACAGAGGTCTAATGGTCTAAAATTTCAATTTGCTGTTTGTGGACGAATGTCACGAATACCCTAGTTTACTACATCTTTTATTATGCATATTTTGGATCTATGTTGGCGATATCTCGAGCATTACACATAATTTAACAAAGATGTGGTGCGCCGTCAATTCAGGAGACGTCATTTTCACAGTCGTTTTCACAGGAATCCCATCGGAGAAAAATAACTATATTTCTGTAAGTACATCAAATATCACGTCAGTAATCTAAATACATAATAATAGAACAATTTAAAGATACATTTGAGAAAAATGTCGAAAAATATCGAGAATTATAGAAAAATAATGAGTTGAATTTTGGATTCTGCATGCTTTTGCTTCAAAATTTTTTTCGTGCTCCGTACCTCTCCATCAGCGATTATTTTCGTAGAATCATTTTGAAATACAGAAATTTTGCCCAAAATTAATTGGAATCTTTCAGATACATATTTCCGTGAAATTTCATAACTATATGACGTCTGTAAGAGTAAATAATAGCACAGTTCGCGTAATTTTTGACGGCCCTCGTATTTTGCAGGTCTACTATTAGTTGACCTAAGAAAGAAAAGATTACAAACAAAAATATTTGACAGTCTCTTTCAATGCGGTCAGTTAATATTGACTAAGTCAGAAGTTCAATGCCTGACAAAGTCTTTATTAGACATCTGTGGGAATTTTTTATTTAATATGAAAAGAGAGGTTCAAAATGTCAAGCGCCTGTGGGTTAGAAAACGACAACTATCTTTTGGGTATTTAAACATGTTAAAGTGCACATATTATTTTCCTAATGTCTTGGTCTAAATATGAAAATCAAATGAGTAAAATGGAGTAATCTAACAAATCAGATATATTTATCACAACCAGAAGTCTCTGTCGAGACTGTAGCTCTACTGGTTTGTACTTAGAACAAAGAATGAGAAAAGAAGCCATTGCCATCAGACCAAAACTGTAGAAGGAGTAGCGTTTTAAAGGAATTTCACAGAAAATTCTATTTTTAGTAACCCATGGCAACACCATTCAACAAAATCAAAAACCGATGCACTATTTTATGTATCTTAGTGTAGTCTACTTGTGTGCCAAGTTATATTGAAATCAGACCAAAATGGTACAAGGAGTAGCGTTTTAAAGGAATTTCACAGAAAATTCTATTTTTAGTAACCAAGGCAACACCGTTCATTGCAATCAAAAACCGATGCACTATTTTATGTATCTTAGTGTAGTCTACTTGTGTGCCAAGTTATATTGAAATCAGACAAAAATTGTAGGAGGAGAAGCGTTTTAAAGGAATTTCACAGAAAATTCTATTTTTAGTAACCATGGCAACACTGTTTATCGAAATCAAAAACTGATGCACTATTCTATGTATCTTAGTGTAGTCTACTTGTGTGCCAAGTTATACTGAAATCAGATCAAAACTGTAGTAGGAGTAGCATTTTACAGGAATTTCACAGAAAATTCTATTTTTAGTAACCATGGCAATACCGTTTAACGAAATCAAAAACCGATGCATATTTTATGTATCTTATTGTAGTCTACTTGTGTGCCAAGTAATATTGAAATCAGACCAAAACTGTAGGAGGAGTAGCGTTTTAAATGAATTCCACAGAAAATTCTATTTTTAGTAACTATGGCAACACTGTTCTACAAAATCAAAAACCGATGCACTATTTTATGTATCTTAGTGAGGTCTACTTGTGTGCCAAGTTATATTAAAATCAGACCAAAACTGTAGGAGAAGTAGCGTTTTGAAAAATTGTTTACAGACAGACGGACAGACAGATGGATGGACGACGGACACCTTACTATCGAATAAGCTCTTCTTGTCTCTGACCAGTAGAGCTAAAAAATAACCATTCATAAAAAATAATACAGTCTATTCTTAACTTTATTCTTTTTCTTTCTCAACACTTTTTCTTTAAATAACAAAGTACATGTAAATATCTTTACAGTTGGATGAAATTAACATTTTAAAAATCTGATATGACCTCTAGAAAAAAAAGATTAGAGAGGGTCTATAACAATCTTAATTGAATCAAATCTTAGTCAGCTTTTGAGGAAGTAATGTCTTTTTAAAATACCTTCTGAATTACAGGAGGAAATGGACTGCATGTTTTAACACTATAATGAGTCGTAAGATATATACCTGTTCACAATCTTTAATGAAAGCAACTTTCCCTAAGGCCTTTTTTAAAAAAAGAATTTTTCTGTTGCTAATGCAGTGTTCTTTAATAAATTTGAAAATTAAATCAAATTGAACACCAAGCAAACACTTCCCAAAATATACAAAGATACCTTTATCAGCATTGAAGTGAAACGAAGAAACTATTTCCCTAAAATGCTAATTTTAAAAATTTTCTCTATAAAATCAGATTAAACTGTTTGGGTCAATTTAAGCATTTTAATTTTAGGAGCAAACAACAATTAATTATTGTAGACTAGAAATTTTTTATTCACTGTTCATTTTTGACCTTTTTCATCCTCTTCAATTGTCAAATTCAAAACTAGGCTCATTTGAAAAAAAAAAAGGTATAAATAATCATTGGAATAATTGCATTTCAATATAAAGAATTCTTCAACAGTTTTGTAATCATTTTCATTTTTTTCCCTAATCTACTAAATGTGTCCCCTAATCATTTTGTCTGGCAAGGTCTGTAATAAGGTATCTTTTTTTCAATTAATTTTCAGCGTTATCTATAGCTTATGTAATCAACACTCTGAAGATATACTTTCTTGTCACAACAAATAAGCTTGTAAATGACAAGGCAACTTCCTTCATACATACAAGGAGAATACATCAACCCTGAACAAATTGAATTTCAAACAATGCATGAACAAAATTAGTGTTTAGCCTACTTTTTGGTAACAGAATAAATGGATATCTCTGAGAAAATTCATAGCTCATATTGTGTAATAAAGGCTCAACTGCTTGCTATCAAAGATTAAGCAATATAACATATAGCAGTTAGCTTTTCTCCTCATAACTGAGAGATGTATGTCAATTACACTTGACATTAATTCTATATTGTGACCTCAACATACAAGTACAACTGACAGCTAGAGTACAAAAATAATTTTCATTTACATTTATTTTTATGCCCCCTTAAACATAGTTTCTGTCTCTTTGTCCACAAAAACTTTAACCTTGCCCATAACTTTTGAGTGTGTGGGGCTGTGGCTTTCATATTTTTCAGATGTATTCCTTGTGTCAAGACCTTTCTTTTAGTATGATTATCACCAAAATTGACCTCTAGACCTCGTAGTTTGACCTACTTTACAAAAAATACCACACTTTAATCTTAGCCATAACTTTTGAACAGTTGTAGCTAGGGCTTTCATACTTCATATGTGTAATCATTGTGCCCTTTCAATGGGTATAAATAATTTTGACCTTTTAAGCTTGACCTTAAAGTTTGACCCACTTTTCAAAAACTTTAACCTTGACCATAACTTTTGAACATTTAGAACTAGGGTATTAAAGATTTCACACTGACAGGTGTATTCCTTGTAACAAGACCTTCCTTTGGGTACCAACACATTTGACTTTGACCTTTGGAGTTTGACATGCACTGGAGAAAATTCACCCCTTGCCATTAGCTGCCATACAGGGCCATCAGTGTGCCACAAACACACCTTGTTTTTAATCAAGAAGACTGCCAGTGCACAATTACAGTCACTAATAGTTATATGCAAAGAAAATCTTGCTTGCAATGCCAGCTTGTATTGTTATAAGGAACAGGGATGAAGTACTTGCTACTGGTGATCAAATTTTTATTTTCATTTTCTTCTTTTCTTTAAATGTACATGTAACATTTTGTCAACATGGATGGTCAAAGATTAATAATCAGCAAAAATCATTGAAAGTCTGCAGAAATATAGATATATAAAAATGTCTGGTATCATGCAGTTGTGATATATGAAAGACAATTTCCCTAATTTTGATATATCCAAAAAGAGGAACTAAACTCATTCTTAAAAAATTACAGCATTCGACAATTTACGACACTTCCGCTTTGCACAGGATACACTAACACACACACACACATACATCACACAACTATATCCCCTCCAACTCATGCGAGGGCATAACTATGCACTCTTGAAAAAATAATTTCTAGATCATATTTAGAAACAAGTTAATACTTACAGAAGCAATACCCAGGATAATTCTGATTATCATTAAGAAGACATATCCAGTCTGGGCAGCAATGGGGGTCAAAAATGTGCAGAGCGAGCATAAAGCCATACTGAGACCAATGACTCTCTTCCCTCCGACCTTGACAGCTAGCCATCCTCCTGGAATTTGTGTAGCGAGATAACCCCAGAAAAAGGCCCCCAGTATTAGGCCCTGGGTTGTTTTCTCCCACACTATGTCACCATCCTGTATTACATCAACATATAAATGTATTGTGCACTGGGTACTTCACCGCAATGACATTTTTCTTTGTAAGAAATAGATAATCATAAAATTTTAAATGAAATATTTCAAACTTCCACAGAAAATGTTACAAGTGATATGCAGTATAATTTTTGCAATTCAACTAGTTGAGCCCAGTTAATCTGGACAGTCATTTTCATAACCAAATCAATTGGATTAATGAGAAGCATGGATTATTGAAAAAGTTTTTAAAGGAATTGGAAAGTGTAAATGATTCTTTTTTTAAAATTGATCTGAAGGCAAAATAACTGAATTACTGGTGTTCAAATTAACCAGGTATTACTGTACTTGTGACAGATATACCTCATATTCCTGTAGTACAGTTGAATTGCTGTCTGCAGATATTAATCCACAGCTACTTTCAAAGTACTGATTTGATGGAGCAGAATTTGTTTTGTTGGACAGGTTTGCCTCTTCTGATGACTTTAAACGTATTGCTGTTCCATTGACCATGCATACAATAGCTACACTGAGATTGAATCTTAGGGCATAAAGATTTATAAATCCAAAGAAACCCAGGGCAGCTAAGCCAAGACGACTTGATGTCCACCATGGAACTGAAATGATAATAATGTCAGTATAGCAAATACAAAAAGTTTTTTTTTTCAAGGAATGAATATATGTGTTGATCAAAATAATCCCTATTCCCATCCTTTCAATGAATTTATGCAAAAAGGGAATTTGACTCATATCATGACATAAAAATTGGAACCCATGTTGCCCCAACCACTGTGTCATCCAAAAGATACATGTAACACAAACCGCTATATATACCAGTCTACGTTTTATATTGTGCCATTCATGCTTATCCCTAAACAACATTCACGGGTAAATTAACCAATACAATGTTCAAATAGAAATGGAATTTAAAGGTCAAGCATTCAGTATGCTAAATATTTTCATAAACAATAAGCAATGAAAACATCAAAGTTGCCCATAAAAATTTTCTCATATACAATTTATCTTGCAAAATTAGTGAAAGTATACGTTTTTAAACCCTATGTATTTTCAGCATCTGAAGTGACTTCAGTGTCGTATTGATCTCAGATTTGGTATTTATTCCTATACATAACAATACAGACTATACAGTATTCATTGGATTTTGCTAGAAAAAATATTAGTCATAATTAAGACCCACCTTCTTTTGGATCAACTGTATCTTCATCAGACCCAGAATTTACGATAAAAGAATCCTTCGTTTTGGTCATTTTGAGTCAGAATTTTCAAACATTAAAATTTGTCACTTTCTCAACAACTCATTGTGATTCTAGAATCAAAAGCACTGGGTCATCACTCGAGGCTTCCGTCTTCCCGATACAAATTAAGCGAGGCTTGTTCTTTTCCACGTGTGCAGGTTTCAACAAACATCAACAAACGTCGGCGCGTATGATGCAACTGGCAATGTGGAAAACGAAAACTGGACGCGCGGAAAATCGATTCGTTATCAAACATAGTACATGTACATGGACTGATGTGAGGCATATTTAATAAGTTTAAGTTAACATGTACATCAAGAAATATTTCCAAAAAAGACTTTAAAAATTGAAACACATAATAAATCTTATAGCAGAAGGATCTCTCTCGATCTCTCTTGTAGGAAATACAATGTCTTCTCAATAACAATTTCTTCATTTACCCCCCCCCCCCCCCAGCAAATTCAAAGAATTGTGAACCCCTGCTTTCGGTGTCTTAGTGATAATGCACATGTAAAATATAAAAGTCCTATCTCTTCTCATTCAAAAGACGTGACCAAGGTTATAAAGTTTTTGTGGGAAACGGACAGGCAGACTGACCATACAAAAATGCTTCTTGAAAACAAAATAAATCTAGGGATAATATTTATGATACCAGGAAATATGACGCAAAATTAAATCCGAAAACCATTGTCACTGTAAGTCAGCTCTGTGGCAACGCACTTTGAAAAAAATTACGCACTTTGAAAATTTTTTTCAAAGTGCGTTAAAATTGGGACAAAATCAACGCACTTTGAAAAATTTTTTCAAAGTGCGTTAAATTTGGGACCAACTCAACGCACTTTGAAAAAATTTTTCAAAGTGCGTTAAGAGTCTACATCAATAAATTTTACCATGGAGACACTTAACGCACTTTGAAAAAAAAAATTATATTTTAGTCATGGAAAGATTTTATTTGTTATTTATCTTTCAAAACACTAAGCCTAACCCTGCATGATTTACTCCCGTCGAAAGGAGGAGAAGACGGGTATAAGATCCCTCAGTCCAAAACTTTAATCTTTCCAATACATAAGTGTCGGTAACAAACGGGGGAGGGGAGCAATAAACCTAAAAAGGGAACGCTGCATTTTTAATGCTTATACGATGTATATATCTTTCCAAAATAAGTTTTGGGCTTAGTCCTCCCATCCTCCTCCCATGGCCCTTCGCCCAGTCTCGATGTCTATGCTATAGTCAAAGCATTCATATAATTATGTATTTACCTAACTGGTATGACGTTGAAAACTTTCAATAATAAATGACTTAATTACAGATAAAAACTAAAATTTTTAAGTATAGTAAACCGTATGAGAGAGAAAGAATTTTCATATTTTTGAACAATCAAATTGGCCCCTTTTTATTATGATAAATGCCAAGTTGCTTGAAGCTGTCCTCTGTTAGTGCCCACTATACACCTTTTCATCTACTTATCAAAGACTAAAATAAAAAAAAAGAAACGAATTAATGAACTGAACAATCGTCACTCTTTTTTCAAGACCCTTTAATCTTTCACCCTTTTATTTTATCAAAACCTTAAATATTTAAAAAGTCAATATCTCAGGTCCTACAGTGACTTTATCATAAAAAAGTTATCAAACCAGGATCTGTTATTTATCATACCGATTATTTGAAGGAATATTGATCAATCTTTACATTTTTTCAAAGTGCGTTAATATGGTCGATATGGTGAAAAATTTTTTCAAAGTGCGTAATTTTTCAAAGTGCGTTGTAACACAGCTCTCTTATAGTTTAAGTGATAGTAATCTGATTAAATACCATTTAAAGTGGATTATATATCTTAAGCCTGTCACGAATCGAATGCATGCGAATTGACCAGATTGGAAGATTTTAAGAAATGATTTTAATAAACCAGCTAGTTAATTCAAACTGAGTAAATTTAGGAAAAGGCTTCCTTTCTATCTATCCAGGACGGAACTCATTCATGAAACTGCACGAAAGGGTACATGGCATTTCCAAACTGCATATGTAGTATTCAATACCTCACTGAGTATAGTCCCTTCGGGCGTAATTCTGTATTTACATTTTTCTCCTTTTTTCATTTCTCACAGGTTAATTTATCTTAAGCATGTCACGAATCGCATGCATGCGAATTGATCGTATTGGAAGATTTTAAGAAATGATTTTCATAGGCGTCGGAACCGGGGGGCTAGGGGAGGAGTTAAGGGGGTTTAGCACCCCCATTTTTTTTTTTTTTTTTTTTTTTTTTTTTTTTTTTTTTTTTTTTGCAAAGATAGACATTATATAGGCATTGAACATTGGGGCATAGGTTTAGCCCCCTCCCCACCCACAGACATGTTGCAATTTAGGTCAAAAAGAGGATTAGTGGCAGTGTTAGGAAAAAAAATTGGTATTGGACTTTCGAACCTACCCCCCCCCCACCCCCCCCCGAAAAAAGGATTTTTTGTTTTTAAAAATTTACATATTTTGGGTTTTTTTTTTTTTTTTTTTTGCTTGTCAGGTATGTTAAAACTTCTGATTTTTTTCCCTTACACTTAGCCCCCTTTCAATTTGCTTTTACCAAACTTTTAGAGTTATCTCTCTTTGTTTGTTCCATGAAAATCCATTTAATTACATGCATCTATAAAAATATTAAAATTCCTTCGAATATGTTAACTTTTGAAAATTGACATGCAGATAGGCGGGAGAACATTACAATCGTTCGCAGTTCTTTCTTAAGTGTACGTACATGTATTTCATTTGTATTGATTTTTTTTTTTACATGTATTGGAATCTGTACTATTTTGGTTACCTTTCAAGATTCTACTAGTAATTTCTATATGAACATTTAATTACAACTTTACATTGAAAAACAGATTCTTTACTCAATCTGTAGGTTGAAATTATATAAAATTATTAAATAGAAGGGTTATCTGAATAGAGTTTTCCCATTCTGTATCCAGAGTTATCTTCCGCTACGCTCACAACACTGTATGTGGGAGAGAAGCGGGAACGGCAATGAGAGTTTTCCCGCGTTTCGAAAATAGCGGGAAAACATTGTATGATAGGAACGTATTTTATTGGAAATGCCTGTTTATGGTAGGCGTGGCCAAAGGAAGGCCAATGAGAAGGTGGTATTTTGTGGGGTGGTGGATCAGTCTAAGCCAGTGCTCCGCAGAACACACACGTGTTTTTGTTTATATCTATATTCAAATGAATACGTTTATATATATAATTATAACATTAACAACAATATTGTCATATATTTTGATTTTGCTTATTGTACATGTACATCTATGTTGTTTATGCATACCAAGTACTGCACCGAATGCACGTCCGTTATTCTCCCTTGAGACATTTACATAGCGACGGACACAGGTTTTCAATAGTTACTCGTCTATGTTTTTTCCTGAGTGGTTTTTAATGTTCTTGATAGGGGTATAATGCACATAGCATGTAACGTATAGTTAAAAAACAACATTGCAGTACTCAATTGATCACATACACATTAATGTATGCCTGTTTGTTATGGATTGTTATTAAATAAATGCCAGTTGCTCCCACTAAGCTAGCCTCTGTCTTACAGCTTAAGTGTTGTATTATTTGGTGTAGTCTGTCAAATAATGAGTGAAGATTATACATGTGATTGAATAGTGTTACTTTTGAAAAGATGCACACACTATCCCAAATACTTCTATATACAGGGCGTATCTAAGACTATATTATAGACTGTCATTTTTCACACAAACCCAGCTGTTGCATTCATAATTACAATAGACCAAATCATGCTCTTTGTCCATGGCCTGTTACTACAAAAATCCTTTTCTGCATGAAAAAATGACATGCAGATTATAATGCATTGGAAATCTTCAAATGCATTCACCTCCCACTTGTCTAGACCAATGCCCACTACCACGAACTCGTTCTTAATGATGTCCCCTTTAATCTGCTTAAAACAGTTAAACTTCTGCATCTTAAGGTATTCAATGTATAATGACCACATTTTGTAACTAATAAAATGAATGACCCAATATTTTTAATCATGATAGCATTTTGAAGATATTATCAAGTAAAAATACTCCACCAAAAGAATTTACAAAATGTTGATTATTGTCCAATAATTTGCACCTTGAATTTTACATTGAAGTCTATGGGCAGCACATGTTTTTATCAGATATTGCAAAAAGAAATTTGAATTTTAAACAAATCTCTTGGTGAAAATATGCATAAACTCCCTCTATGAAATAAAATAAATTATTTACTGCAGAAATTTTGAGAAATCAAAAATTTTCTTCTATTCATCAAGGGCAGATAACTCTTCAAAAACTTAATATGCAAAATGACTCTCCTTACATGTTATCAGTGTTGTGAATTTGGTTCATTTCACCTTTCTGGTTATCTAGGAAATAATGCATTTTTAACTAGTTTAAAGTTATTTAAAATCGTTCAAAATTCCTGCATTATACCTTGAATACCTTTAACAATATCTCGAATATCATGGAAAATCACTTATTCTTTTTCAGTATTTTACCCTGGACACCTCAAATCCTCAAGTATCTCATTTTTTTCTTGGTCCCTTTGAGTTTGACTGTAGCTACATGCTTACAAAATCCATATTGATCTGACATTTCTTATTCCTAACTTGCATTTGTAAAAATTACAATACTGTATACCAACAAATGTAAACAATACAACTTTTCTGCATGGCTTTATTTGGACATGTAGTTCTGAAATAATACAGAGTACAGAACATAGAGATACCTGACAGACAACATACACAGCAATATTCACAAGACTTATCTACAAATCTACAGGTATTATATACAATGCAGGTAAGAATAATTTAGAGTATGACCTGTCTTACTGCAGGAAGAATAATTAATGGTATGACCTGTCTCATCACATAAAACAGGGGGATGTTGTCCTTCATAGTCCAAATGAGATTCCTGTTTAATTTACATAAAAGTAGAACTTTGAATAATAAAATAATAAAAAATATCCTTTTAGAAAATTTCTATGGGACTTAAATAATTTAAAATCTAATATAATAAAAATTATAAAACACTCTGGTTCAAAAATTACACTTGTGATCAAATTAATAAAACGTATCAAATATGTATAAATAAAAAAACAATTTATACCTTTTCAATATGTTGTTATTCCATCAATGAAGC